TGTGTGGTGAGGAGATCATTTACAAGTGTGTGGTGAGGAGATCATTTACAAGTTTGTGGTGAGGAGATCATCAACAAGTGTGTGGTGAGGAGATCATTTACAAGTGTGTGGTGAGGAGATCATTTACAAGTGTGTGGTGAGGAGATCATTGACAAGGTTGTGGTGAGGAGATCATTTACAAGGTTGTGGTGAGGATATCATTTACAAGTGTGGGGTGAGGATATCATTTACAAGTGTGTGGTGAGGAGATCATTTACAAGTGTGTGGTGTGGTGAGGAGATTGGACAATTCTGGATGCGTCAGATGATAACAGGGAGTTTGTGAATAAGAAGAAAAATAAGAAAAAACTTGAAGCATCCCGATCCAACACGAATCGAAACATTTAAAATAATAATGAATCATGCTAGTGAATATGCATCACATTTTCTATCAACTACAACGCCTTCATTCATTAAAAAAATACCGATTTCTGATATTTTATCTCAAATAAATTTCATCAAGCAGAATTGTCTATCCTGTTCACTGAAACATAATTCCACGTGTTAGCATTTCAAGAACGGAAGTCTTGACTACTCTAAACAGTTCTTTGACATAACACGTGCAAATATGTCCAATGCGTATATTTTTATTTATTTCTAATGATCAGGAAATTGTGTAATGAAAGTACGTCTGACCAGTTTCCCGTAAGAAAGTAAATTGGGCGCTGGGACAAAATTGTCACATTGAACACAGCGCCTTTATGTAAGGATATTATTATGTGAAGATATGTATAATAAATTATTATTATCTGTATACTACTTTATACCACCTACCGGTAGTATGATAAATTCATTATCATGGGTTGTCAGTATGAGAATACTCGAGAAGAACTTCCAGATAGTATTTTGCGTTCTATTTTTAAGAACCACGTGCGATAAATAACAACTTTTAATAGAAAAGAAAAGTGGAATATATATGTTTGTAAAAAATTAACAAACATTTTTGGAATTGTTACTATGGTATGAAACACGTTGATATTTATCTAAAACCTGTCCCGTTTTGGGTAGTCACGTTAGAGCCAGAGAGGGGTGAGTTAGCATGATACCGACAGGTCAAAAGCCGTCAAAAGCATTTATAATGTAATGTCCAGAATAAATTTATATGTTGTACTGTATGGTACAAAACACACAGAAAAGATGTACGTGATACAATATCTAAATCAGTATATATTTTATACGGCTGTCATTAATAAATATTAGAGATCATCTGCAAATATCTCCCGTGACGTCATAGCAAAGGTTGTTTCGTTCATGTATTTGAGCCACACACGAAATCAGCCTGTTACACAATAGATAATGCCAATTATAGATTAACACTCGTATCATTAGTTATCATGAAGAGCTCGGTTGTAATATTTGGAAACGATTGGCTAAAAGTTAACTAAATGTATATCTGTAATTAATCGAAGCTGGCCAAAAATTATTGAAACAAATAATAGGGTTTTGTTAACATTGTAAAGTCTGTGGTTGAGTAAGTTTGTATGGACACGCCATTTATCAATCAAGATACTATCAAGCGATCGATATGATACGATATGTATTTAAAATACGCCTGTGTTGGGGTAGACGTTACGAAGAATCTAAGTTTGTCTTGATGGCTAACAGACCAGAACAACAAATAATTTGGATATGACTCAAGAATGAGGCCATGCAAAAACAATTGTTTGTTTTAACAGTACAATTATACGCTTAATGTAGAGAGTCCCGCCTCTGTTTAATATATTAAGTATACAGGCATCGATAAGTTGTTTTCCTTTTAAAATGATGAGGCTTGGTTTGTGTTTTAATGTGACGTCTCGGCGAGAAAAAAATATTGAATTGTTCGTTCATAATCTGAAAAATTACGAAACCAACTGCAGCAAGTTAGACAATAAATCGTTTTCTTTTTAACTTGATTGTTTTATCGTCTTTTGAAATGCTTTAACTGATTTCATTAACATACCTGGGTAATGGGAACGCCCTGGTTTATTCCGTGACTTTCCTAAAATCATGAGCCTTCTACAGTGTTTAAAAGTGTGCATGACAAAAATCTATAATTGAAACAAAGATGAATGTTTTTTCTTGATAAATTCATAAAAGAATTGTCCTTTGATGACAATACACATTCACAGACTTTTAAGACACTATTTTTTCACTTCAGTTGGCGTAATTGAGGTGTGAATTTGAAATACATTTCAATAAATAAGATGCTGAATAGTTTAAATGTCTACATATATTTATCGAAAATATCATACAATATAAAGGGTATGTCACCATCAAACATAATTAAACACTAAAAGATCGGAAAGAGCTTATATCAATGGCTTTATATGCTGTATCAATAATTTATGTAAAATATGAATTTGTGATCTTTTCGTAATTTTTGGATTTTGAAAATAAACGCTTGCAATTTAAAAACATACTTTAACATTAAAAAGAAATGAAATTTGCAATCTAATTTTTTCACAATTATAAAAACTGAAAATTAAGACATCTTGGGAACTAAAATATAGATATATATTATAGGGAACTAAAATAATATATTTCGTTTGTTTAGAGATGGGCTGAGAAAAATGATGTATGAAAATTCCAGACCTTTCATTTAGGATAGAAATTTAAAATATTACATTATTTATAATAAAACTAATAAATGTTAATGAAACTAGATCCATAACACACACATTAAGTACTCTCAAGTGGGCTGAATAAGTAGGAGTCTTTGGTTCTGTAGCTAGCTTCAAAATGTCAAATTTATCTTTTCAATCTTTGGATGTATGTAAGTACTTTTGAATACAATTATCAATCGAAGGTGATTAGTTTGTATCCAAGAGCTTGGTACGAAAATACAATTATGATGAAAATATCAAACACGTGTTTTCAGATTTTAGTTATTGTTTACCAAGCTATCAAAACTTTATACAGCAAAGTAAAGATCTTTAAAATGAGATGTATAGAACAGTCAATGAGCACGAACACCGTACCTTTACCTTACACCGGCCTATGATAGAGTACATACCTACTGTCATAGAGGTTCTCGTTCACAACAAATAACAACAGAGGTGGAACAGCTCCTTGCCTCACTCCCAGAGCAAAATGGTAAGTTTTTTAAAGTTGATTTTAATTGGGTATGGAATCCTTGTCCAGGCATCGATATAGATAGTTTCAGAGTCAGGATTCTCACTGAATATTATTTTCTGTTTATAGTAGTCGCTAAACATGTATATATCTAAACTTTAACAGTACAATGGTAATGTATACGCATGTGTTAAACGGGACAAAGGAATTAAGTTAAGTCAATACAACAATTATGTGTGAACAATACGACAAACAGTGTTTGTGTGTACAGTACAATCCTGTAACCCACACATACAAACTGTTTTAGCTGTAAAGTTGTTTGCTTCACCTCTCAAATTTAAATTATTTACAATGTTCGACTTGTGTACTACAAAGATTATTATACTACTATTTCTATCGTCCATTCGTATAGACATGTACTAATACCAAAAGATGACAAACATGTCATACTGGCTTTATTAAAACTCGTTATCAATTGATTTTCATCCACAGACGAATAGTCGTGTTGATGCTGCATTCGAAAGTAAGTAAAAAGCATCAGGCTTAAACTCAAATACTCAAACTTAATTTTATAACGAAAAAATACATTATAATTGCTATTGTTCAGAAAAATGAGAAAAGAAAACGGACAACAAGGAAAATCCGTATTTTATCAATATCAACGAGTCCCTTCCAGATTTATCATACTCTCCTTTCTTATCAGACTTAGCTAAGAGTTTAATGTAATCTTTCCACACCTGGGGAGTACGACAGAAAAATCTCAACCTCAGGGGTAAGATTCTTAAATGTCTAGCCCGAGGCTTGCCGAGAGACTGACTTTGAAGAGTCTTACGCTAGGGTTGCGATTTTTTAGTCTTAATCCTAAAGTTGATAATGATTATTTATCTCTCACATCAAAATGCAAGTGGTAATTTCACGTAATGCAAACGCTGATTTCCTAATTCCCATCAAATCTGAGTTATCAAGATGTGCTATTGTTGACGTGACGTCATACAGTTGTTATGACAGGGAAATCCCGTCGTCTTTACCCAGTGTAAGACTAATAGAATCTATCGCTACTGGTTGTGTAAGATAGAGAAATCTCAACCCGAGGACTAAGATTTTTTGTCCAGAACGAGGCTTGCCGAGTTCTGGACAAAAAATCTTTGTCCGAGGGTTTAGATTTCTCTATCTTACACAACCAGTAGCGATTGATTATTTTTCTCCCATATCAAACAGTATTTTAATGTGAAATAAAGGTAAACATGGACCCAAAACACATACAGGCAATTTGTTGATGGATTGTTGACGTGACGTCATTGTATTGTTGAAGTGACGTCATGCCATTGTTATGAATAGGGGAATCCCCCCGTCTCAACCCTAGGGCGGAGACAGATAAATCTAGCACCGGCAAAACGGGAGATAAATCTGTCAGGTGTGGGAGAAAGAAATGTTCTGAGTAACCATCTCTGTCTAATGGAGGAGAAAGAAATGCCTTTCCCTGACCGGAAGTGTGGATATATCTTGTCGAATGGGGGAGTAATATGTATTCCCCCAACTTGGGGGTAAGACAGAAAAACCTCACCCCGAGGGGTAAGATTATGATATGTCGAGCTTGCCAAGGGCCAGACATGTCAGTAACCTACCCCGGGGCTGACATTTTCCTGTCTTACTTCTAAACAGGGGAACGGTGACTTTTCTACCTCCTCGGGATTTTTCTGATGGGACTCTCTACCTTAGATCAGTTGAGAGATGTAAGAACTGGGCGTTAGGTTTGGTATCACATACGGTTTTAGTATTCAATGCAAAGTTATCCCCCATGAAGAATATTGTGTTTGATCTAGATTTTGTTGTAAATCGAAGCAGGAGAAATAATTTCAATAAATTCAGTGAATATTTCGGATCTCAAACATATACTGTAGACCGTTTTGTAGTTGCTTAAAATACCAACAGTTGTATAGGAAACTATTGTTTCGTCATAAAAGACCTGAAATGAGATATTTATGCTGTGTGTGGTGGGTTTTTTCAGAATATTACAGGGAATGTTTCGATATTTTCGATGAAGACAAAAGTGGGAACATTGATAGTAGAGAGCTGGGGAATGTACTGCGAGCGCTGGGCTTCAATCCGACGGAGCAGAACGTGAAAGAGTACCTCACCAAAATAGATACCGATAGTAAGTATAATTGTCACGTGTTAATCCCGTTTTTTCGTATTGAAGAGTTCTCTTCACTTGTGAGCAGGTATTGATTGTTACGTCATTGGTTTGTGTGATTGGCAATGTCAACGATGTTCATGACAGGCCATCGTCACAAATTTAGCTTTATCATAGCATTTCCAGACACCATCTCTGTTATCACCGCTTTTGTGATGTAACTTTCTTTTCTAATCAGTATTCATAATAAAACATCCATAATAATCGTATTTTTTCTGTAATTCTTTTCAGATACCGTACATACTTTAGTTGCATACAAATTATGTTCAAACATATTTAGCACAATGGAGCCTTGATAATCAATTTCCTTCCTTTCTAACTAAAGTGGCTTAATTGTTGAGCGACATACTTGCCAACTTTTTGAAATTTACAATGGGGGAGATTGCGCGTGCTCAGAACTAAAAGCATAAATACAATGTATGTATGTACACTCTAGGGGAAAATAACACATTTAAATAACATCGTTTGAGCTATAATTTCAGATGAAATCATAAGATAAGATCTTAGAAAACAGGAATAGTTAAGCAAACTCACTGGTTGAAAATACTGAATTTTAGGGTCCAATATCGGGAGTCTCCTCCAAAATAAGGAGAGTTGGCAAGTAAGGAACAACCGGATTACTGTAATACGTTTGGACTTAATTAATTAATAAATAAATAAATGTATAAGTCTGTCCCTGAGCAAAACCACCTGCTGGTATCTGGGACAGTCGAATTGTGACTGAATAAACGAGGCTCAATCTGTTAAATGTGAGACGATTTTATCATCTACATTCCTTTTTGTTTTTGTTTCAGAAAGTAACACAATAGAATACGAAGAATTTAGAAATTTTATCATAAACTTAGAACAAAAAAAGCCAGAACCCGACCAATTAAGATCCGATTTGTTAGCCGCCTTTAAACTGTTCGACTTGGACGGTAATGGCTTCTTATCGTCTGACGAGTTGAAAAACATCGTGAAAACCATGGGCGAATCGTTGACTGAAGATGATTGTAAGAACTTGGTGCAAGAGGCAGACAGTGATAACGACGGCCACGTGGATTATGCCGGTAAGGTCAAGGGTCAAGGTCGTTTGTTGTTTGTATATTTTGTTTCATTTGTATGGGATGGAACTCGCAACACCTAAGGTCTATGAAGACGTGTGTCTCAGGACACATCTACGAAAATATAGGTAGGAGAGAAAAGAAAATTCCGAACTGTTGTAATGGGGGCCGCAGATCTATTTTGATTTTTTCAGTGTCCCTTAAAAAGAACCCAGAGAAAGAGCACTATTTAAAGTGACATCCATTGATGGGGAAATATAATGGTACGTTAATGGAGAAATATAATGGTACGTTAATGGAGAAATATAATGGTACGTTAATGGGGAAATATAATGGTACGTTAATAGTTTGTTCTCATAACAAACTTTTCTTTAAAGTATATGCTATCAGTGATGGCAAGGTTTGGTTAAAGGTCATAGGTTAAAGAGATTTGCTCCATGGAACAATGAACATGTATGTGATATAGATACATCATTCGAGCTCCAATACAGATCTGTATGTTACTCCATACACGCTGATATTCGAATTTTAAACTCTCTCCCATTTTACAACTCAATAACATTTTAATAACTGCTGCTCTTAACATCCTACCGAGGACTTCTCTGTATTTTACAAACGAGGGATGGACGGAAGGGCTGGATCATAGGATACTCGTTATAGGCCTATATATATATATATGTCCGTATACAATCACCTGTCGGTTCGAACATTTACGCGTGTATCATCCCAGCGGCGGTTTCTGTCTGTCAGCGTCCTCGTCCCTTCATTGTTATAATAATTGTTTATATTTTTTGTTCATTTCAGAATTCGTCGAGAGAATGTTGAAACTATAATTGATTTATGCAAAGCATCCTTTAAAGACCAATGTGGCCACTGAAAAAAAGTTACCGTGCAACAAAAGAGACTGAGGAATATAAAACAGACAGTGGTCCGGCTGCCACGCGAGGAACTCTTTTGGCCCAAAGTTCTATTCAGACGATTAAGTAGAGGTATATGATACTATTAATATCATTTCCAGCGAGCGGTTGATCTTTATTTTTTCCTTCCAGTGTATCAGTAAAAAGACGCTGGTTTTTATGTAAGCCTGTAAGCAATTTGTAGATGACGTAAAAAAAACTCAGCATGACATCACCGTCTTGTAATTTATGCCGATGTGTGTTACTGTCCAGATTGTGACGTCACAAATTGCAACTTCAAACAAAAGGTTCATTATGATTAAGTTATAGCCATCTATGAAAAATGTCCTTGTGTTCAGCTGGAGTTACTTGTATGTCGTATTCCTTAAATACATATAGGACATATTGATCAATTTATTATCAACATAAAGATATTGATCCGTCCGAATCATCCGTATAGCAGAACACTGAAAGAAAAACATCATCAAACCGTCCACACAGAGAACTCAAATTTCAGCAGACCTAAAACCATAGACTTTTGCGCGTCCTGTGCGTCTTAGTTCAATATGTTTGCATATAGAAACTTATATTACATACTCATCAATTGATTTTGGACACCTTAAAAATCATAAATAAGCAAAACAAGCATTGCGTAAAAAATGGATAGGGCATACCCAAAGATATGTTTGCTTAGGTAACATTAATTTTGCTTATGCAAATCTCTACAAACAATTTTACATACCCAATGAAAATATTTTGGGTATGCAATATCATTTGTTTTAAATCAAGCTTAACGCATTTATGAAATTTGGTATGCAAAAACAAATGTGTTTGTGAATGGGGTATTTCATTTTGGAACAGAAGCAACATTGTTGTGTTATTTGTCGAAACTTTAGTTTTGCGTGTGCAATTGATAATGTTTTTGAAAATAATAAATCTTTTTTGTGTATGCAATATTATTTTTGCGTTTGCGAAAGTAATGCTATGCTCTTGCCGCGACATAATTAACGAAAGGCTATGTTAGTTTTTGGTCCAATGCATGTCTGTTTGAAGACATATCGTGTTATTCTGAAAGGCTTGTCATATTGTCTCAGTTTTATAGCTATTAATGTAAAGCTACATTGCTTAGCTTCGTATTAAAACACCCGGCCTTTGCTAAGTACCACTCAAATATAAAATGATGAAGTTGCTGACATGACTATCTCATTCAACATTTACCAAACATTGTTAATAAAATTATCATGACTTTGATTTTGTGTCTTTTATCATGTTGTATTCATCCCAACATATAGCCCGTGGATCGTCCGAAGTCACATTGGCGCTTTCCTTGATTTGAACGTAGCATCAATAATAACATTGTGGCAGGGTACTGACTCCGAACTGCTCTATTACAAACCGGGAAATACGATTCTAGTTAAAACTGGAAATATTCTATTCTAGTTCACACATTAAAATTAAATCCAGGAGAACACCATGGTTTTACGTAAATGTATCATCTGTAGTCAAAGTTTCTTCCAGAAATGCATGTAATGAGAAATGAGATCCGGTCGGTCTCATAAGCTACCCAACAACCAAACAAATCACTCGAGCACTCATGCAGAGAGCTAGTTTATTTTAGTAACAAGTAATGTCAGCAATCAACTCCAAACAACAAATTTCAACAATCCTCTCTCTCAATCTAAACTCTTTCTCCTTGAAAAACCTTGAACATCGTTCAGTGGAAAGCGTCACACAAACCATTTATGATTTTAGACAAGTGTCATGACCAAAAAAGAAGCCAAGAAACCCTTTCGTTTTCTTAACTAGGAAGTAGCTTTAACAAAGTCCGATGTTGAAACGGCGATTGTGTTACATGACCATTTTTCTTGTGTTTTTGTGAATGACCAACGTATACCATATACAAACTGTTTATAAATCGTCAGCTGTATCACAAAGTTCTTCAAGATATAAAAATAACAAAGGAAGTAGTGGATAGGGTCATTCGGGAAGTAAACCAAATAAGTCCCTTGGACAGGACACAGTTCATTCGAAAGTCTTTGTGGAAAATCTGGGGGGAAAAGTGACACTGCGCATGCGGACACCCATTTGTAAAGGACCAGAAACGTCGCCAACATTTATCGACCAATCAGTACCTTACACAATACTTCAACGAATAGAAACAGATAGAACATCTTACACACTTATTTCCCTTTCAAAGATGAAACGAGAAATGTTTATTCTTATTGAGCTCTGGCGAGCGACAATTATCAAAACGTGACAAGTTTCATAAATCCCACATGGCATGAAAACGAATATAAGACCTATGTTTCTTTAACATTACCAAAATGTTTTTTACAAATATTCGTGAATAAAAATCCTAGGCTATATTGAAATCTAAAATATCTACATATTGACTTCATTTTTCTTTTGCGACAATTATGTTGACCTAGTATTGATATTGACTCCAATTGTGTTCGTCAGATCTGGGTCAGCCTCGTAACCGTCATTAAAATGTTTGCTTCTTCCGATGACCTCATGCCATGCGAAGCAGTGATAGAAACGTGAAAAGCCCTATCAGCATGAATGCATTTTTTTCAGGAATTGTTAAACTTATATATTGGGACATACCGAGAAAATGTAAATGTATAAAATGATTTGGGGATATTGAAATACCGCTTTTCTTGGATTATATTTGCTGTATTTTTCCCAAATCAATGCAAAAGTCACTTCATTTCCCAGTATCAAGATTTTGTGAGCGATATTCTCCCAAAGCCACAAAGCACACTCAGACCAGAGACATATAAAGCCATAGTAGTATATACATCTCTGCTCAGAGGTAGAAAAATCCTAGGAGGGCAGTGAGGCTACAGAAAGGACGTGTTACCGGACGTGTGACCGCAGTAGCTGAGACAGCCTATCCGCATCTAAAGAGCTGTACTGTCCGACCTTAGAGCGTGATCTGGATGGGAAGGACATTTTGAATCTCCGAGGGCCCGGTAAGCTGGCGCTTACCCCCTCAAGACGACCGAACACAGACTTCGTCCGTGAAGTGTAGTCTATAAACCAATCAACCAACCAACCAACGTAGACAAATCACTATAATAATACTGATCGTATCACACAAACGGTGTTATGAAAACACGTCTAGCGAAACCTAGCGGAGATATAACTGGCTCAGTATAGGTTTCCTGCAGTACAAACAATGTTATACACTTTCATCATGGTTTTGGTCAGAAAAAGGATCACTGGCTTATAATTAAGGACTTATTACGAGGAACGCTTACAACATCTACCGAGTCGATGTCAATAGTTTTAGACATTCTAGCTGGTGGTGATGATGAAGTTACTATGCCAACAGAGCGGGGTTTGGTCACTTTCAAAAATTTACATTTTAACAGAATATCGATGTTTTATATCCTAGTGATGTAGACATTGTTGAGATAAGGGATAATAAGTTATAAATGATGGAGATATTAATTTGAGAGATGAGGACGGGTCATGATCGGAATTAATTAAGGTGAAAATTACAGAGATATTGATTTGAGAGAAATACGTATAATATCATCATTGGGTGGCATTTTTATCGAGTGTTAATTGAAATCCAAGTTTAGACGACAGTTTCCCGGACTCGCAATTCAGTGTACAAAATTACCACCTATGGAGGGCCGATAGGAATTCTCACGGAGGAGGAATAGCGGCATACTTCCGATCAGACTTACCAGGTCATCATGTTAAAGAAATGGACTTCGGAAATATGGAATCCATCTCTATTGAACTAAATTTAAACAATTTAAATGGCTTATTCAAGATGAATATCGACCTCCTAACATGACAGAAAGTAAATTTACGGATGATTTTTGCAAAACATTCGACAGGTGCACTACAAAATATGACAATCTGATGGTTATCGGGTACATAAATTATGACCTACTAACACCTAAAGGTCAGCCTTGGCAGAATATGTGTGATATTTTTTATTTGTCCAATTTAGTTAAAAAACCAACTTGCCACCCGAAAAACACTGAACCAACGTTAATTGATGCGATTTTAACCAACAAACCATTATTAACTGGGAAAATATGTAATTTTAATACTGTTATCAGCGATGTAATAATTTGATATCATTTCAATTCAAAAGCAAAATATCTGTGAGGAAACAACCATTGTTAACATATAGAAGTTTTAAAGATTTTAACATCAAACATTTTAACACAGACCTAAATAATGCAGCATTAGAAGCAACTGTAAAACACACAGATGACAACCAACATACAACCATTTCAGTAACACACTAACAGAAATAATAAACAAGCATGCCTCAATAAAACAAAGAAAAGCCATATTAGACCAAGCACCATTCATGAACAAAAAACTCAGACAAGAATTCTATCACGAAAAGATGCTTCACAACAAGTTCCTCTCAACCCACACCAAACACAACTGGGAAAAATATAGAACCCAGAGAAACAAAGTCACCAAACTCAGAAAACAATCAATAAAACACTACTTTATAGACAGATTCACAGGGGGCCAAAACAACCAAAACTTTTGGAAAACAATAAAACCATTCATAACAAACAAAGTCTGCCAAAATCAAGTAGACATTATATTAGAAGAACAGGGTAGGATAGTAAACAAACAAAACGAAGTAGCTGACATCTTTAATAACTTTTTCGTAAATGTGGCAAAGCATATTGGATCAAACAGCCGACCCATAAATGATGAACATCCTAGCCTACAGGCAATCACCAAAAACAAACAACAAGATAAACACTTCACATTTCAACCTGTAGACGAAGATTTCATAAACAATAAACAAAATAAACCCTAGAAAAGCAACAGGACACGACAATATGTCACCCAAACTACTACAACTAGCACAACCCAGCATTATCAAGTCAGTTACCACACTTGTAAATATCTCTCACACTACGTTTACATTTCCAGACACACTAAAAACAGCACAAGTCAGACCAATACATAAAAAGAACAGCACCCTTGAGAAAGGAAATTACAGACCGGTAAGTATACTCCCGGCACTCTCCAAATCTTTGAGCGATCCATACACTCCCAACTCAGTGACTTCTTTGATGGTGTTTTTCATCCCTACCTCTCTGCATTCAGAGCTGGAAACGGATGTCAGACAGCATTATTGCGAGTCATAGAGGATTGGAAAATGGCTCTTGACCAGAACAAGTATGTAGGCTGCATATTTATGGATCTTTTAAAGGCTTTTGACTGTCTGCCTCCCAACCTCCTTCTGTTAAAACTACAAAATTATGGACTTTCTATTTCGGCTTCAGAACTTTTGTTAAATTACCTCAAAAACAGAAAACAAAATGTCAAATTAGGAAATTAGGAAAGTACTTTTCAGGAACTATACAAAGGAGTCCCTCATGGATCAATTTTAGGCCCAATTCTGTTCAATATTTTCATAAACGACATTTTCCACATCATACAACACTGTGAACTTTACAACTACGCTGATGACAATACAATTAGTAAAGCACACACTTCACTAGACACAGTCAAAACTTCACTACAAACAGACTGCAATTCACTCATTCGCTGGTTCGAAAGCAATCATACGCAAGCACACCCAGACAAATATCAAGCCATGGCCGTAGGAAACAAAGCACACAATGAAAACATCACTTTCAACATAGGCAACAACACAATAAAATGTGAACCAGAAGTAAAATTACTAGGGGTCACTATATACTTCCAGTTAAACTTCCATACACACATATCCAACATCTGCAAAAAAGCATCTAGACAGCTCAACTCACTCAAACGCATAGGAAAAGACCTTAACAGATTAGGCAAACTTAAAATATACCATTCGTTTATTCTCTCAAATTTTAATTTCTGTCCACTTACATGGCATTTTTGCGGTGAGACAAACACACCAAAAAACGGAAAAAAAATCCAAGAAAGGGCTCTAAAAATGTATTTACGATGAACACGAAAATACATATGAAAATTTACTAGCCCGTTCAAAATTACCATCACTCAAAATCAGACGATGCAATAGAAGTATTTAAAATCACAAATAAACAGACACCAACATACCTACACGACCTTATCAACATCACAGAAAATCATACACATTCAGATATCACAACACAGCAGATATACCACATGTTAGGACTACAAAGTATGGTAAACACTCATTTCGATCTGAAGCACCTAAAACTTTGATATGGAACGCCCTACCAGACCACTTCAGAACGATAACTACGTACACTAACACAATTTAAGACACTAATAAACAGCTGGCATGGGCCAAAATGCAAATGCAACACATAGGCTCACAATACAGTTTTATACCTGTTTATAGCTACAGCTTACCTCTACTTATGTCACCTCTCTATTTATAGCTAAAGCTTACCTCTAATTATGTCACCTCTCTGTTTATAGCTAAAGCTTACCTCTACTTATGTCACCTCTCTATTAGATAATGCTCATCTTTTATTATGTTTTGCCAAATATTTATTGTGTAACTGTGCATATGTCATTTTATGTGTCGGTTTTAATAGCTCGTTAGAGCTAATGTTGTATTGTTTTTAAACCATACCGACGTTAATTAAAACTTTTGATTTGATTTGATTTGTGGTCCTAATAGTTAGCTGTAACAAATTGTCAGGTCCCTGCACGTTGTAGGTCAGTGATGCAGTGATGTCGGACTGGTTTTTTCCCTCAATATAGTCAGTGAAATTTTATTTCAGATATGTTAGCAAATATCGATGCTTCATTTTTCTTTCCATCTTATTATCTTTAAGTTTTAAAATTGGAATGTAGATGTTCGAAAATAACATAAAAAATTAGATGGAACTTTACTTACATACTACCTGTATTAAATGGATTACCTCCCTTCTTTGAAATCCATTCAGTGCTCCTCGGGTTTTTACAATGATAAGGTGATGGAATGAAAAAGTGGGAAAATGAAGAAAGTTGAAAGCACAGATAGTGTGTGTATTCGACATCTATGGGATCACACGACAACTTTCCGGTTTAATACTTTGTGTCTAGGTACACTGTTCAGGTATCCAGTTGATAAACTCACGGTCATATTATTAAGCATGTAGATATAGGAGCCAACCTTCTACGTATACCACAGATACTAACCACAGGGACCTGAGAATTTTACAGAGTAACAGAATATTTAGAGTAATTTTACACGTTTATGGAGTTTGGATCAATTCTCTGTAAAAATGCCACCCCGATGATGGTAATATTTGAGTCAAATATAGCTGTAACAAATTACGAGTAACTCGCATGTTATCATCATTTTTTTACCGAAAATTGATCTAAACGTGTAAAATTACTCTAAACACCTTAGCTAAGGTCCAAATGTATCTGTAACAAATTCGAAGGTACCTGTGGTACTCACCTCGTCTGTCAATAGTATTAAATACACCCATCATCTAATTACGATGCTAGTACCTTTGTGTATACTTCTCCACAGGCAAATGTGCTTGTATTGCAACAAAAAAACTCATCTGTTTCAGTTTTATGACATGGCATGGAAATCTGTCGTTAAAATGATTAGGTCTGCTTTTTTGTAAGCCAACCTTTCCAAATACACAAGTAAACATATTATGCATGTGCCATGTTTACTTGTGTATATAAGGTTGGCTTTATTCTCGTCACCACATGTAATATTATAAACAAAACAGCAGACCTAATTATTTTAACGACAGATTGCCATGCCTTGGTCGTAAAACAGACTGACTTGACAAGATACAGTAGGATGATCTACTTACCTGTAGCCAAATTTGCAAAGAAATCAACTAGTTCCAGCTGACTCCTGAATATGTATTAATAACTTATTGAAATAATGAATAGGTTTGGTCCTGTTGGTGGGATCAACCTGATATATGTATGTTGCATATTAAACACTTACAGTTCAAAGTTGCATTGGCGATACCCCAGCATCCCTCACGCTCTCTGCACCCCTTGAATAAGCCATGACATAATTGAAAGAATAAAGATAGCTATTTGATTGGTCCCAGGTGAAAAAAACTGACCATTCACTGGGCTGATACATTGTACCTATATCCTTTGAAGATTAAAGAGGTGCAATCCCGGCTTTTCAAGTCAGTAAATATCACCATTTCACTCCCGTTTCAATTCTCTTGATATAAATCAAAGGAGCAAACCGGTGCAGAAAGCATTAGTGAGTATATAACCCCTGGAGTATCAAGATAAATGATACCAGATTGAGATGTTGAGCAAGTGGAAAAGTAAAATATGTACAACGTCTAGGGTCCCATAATTTAAAAACACAACATAGAAAGTTTAATCTACTCATTCATTGATTTTAGCTTAGTTTTACAGTCCGATCACTATAGTGAAAAAAATGTATTATTTTCCCAAATAAAGAAAACTGAGGAATATGAATCTTTCAATGAAAATAATGCCATTTTTTCCAATTCGTGAAGAAGCAAAATTAAGGCAGAAAAAAACCTGCACCTATTGTCCAGCATAAAACATCATATGGATATACAATGTACAGAAAACACTGTACCTATTGTCCAGCATAAAACATAACCTATAGATATACAATGTACAGAAACCACTGTACCTATTGTCCAGCATAAAACATAACATATAGATATACAATGTACAGAAACCACTGCACCTATTGTCCAGCATAAAACATAACCTATAGATATACAATGTACAATGTACAGAAAACACTGCACCTATTGTCCAGCATAAAATATTACATATAGATATACAATGCACAGAAAACACTGCACCTATTGTCCAGCATAAAATATTACATATAGATATACAATGTACAGAAAACACTGTACCTATTGTCCAGCATAAAACATAACCTATAGATATACAATGTACAATGTACAGAAACCACTGCACCTATTGTCCAGCATAAAACATCATATGGATATACAATGTACAGAAAACACTGTACCTATTGTCCAGCATAAAACATAACCTATAGATATACAATGTACAATGTAGAGAAACCACTGTACCTATTGTCCAGCATAAAACATTACATATAGATATACAATGTACAGAAACCACTGCACCTATTGGCCAGCATAAAACATTACATATAGATATACAATGAACATGCATGTATGATGATGCATTTTGAACTGATATTGTTTCTTTGGCTGATCTACATTTAGACAGAGTGGACTGACACTTGCTCTCGGAGGTGAAGATGGAATTATCAGACTTTATGACCTGTCCTCTGCTGATGGATTAAAATCTCAACAGGTAAAAGAAACCATTATAGATAAACAAAGAACAGTACCACTGCTCGAGATCTGATGATAACTCGTTAGTTCCCAAAAAAATCCTAATGTTTGTGATCAGACATAATTTGACCAGTGGTTCAAGATTATAAACTTAGAGGTCATATATGGCAAATACTGACTCTTACAGTCCAACAATATTAAACCAAAAAAATTTACTTTCATCGTTGAAATAAATGGAACTGCTACATAGTATAAAAACTTGTATATATACCCCCTGGCACCTGTTTGATATACGTGTGTTAATAAAAAAAAATCTTTTTTTCCCTAGACAACATTGGAGACAAAAAGTGGACCAATTCAGGCGATGGCCATTCATGATGTGACAAAGTTTTATCACAATGATCTGATAGTGGCCGATTCCTGTGGAATCATGACTGTTTTCTGTAGTCAACAGATCCTGTGTCGACAGAGCATAGCAGAATCCAGCATCAGCTCAATCCAGGTCGACAAAGACAAAAGTACAAGGCTTTACCACATTTAGTCTCTTTTTGTTATAAAAAAACCTGTGTGCCCCCTACTTCTATATTCTTAAAAAAAAAAGAACAGAAAAAATAGTGGTTTAATGCAGTTGGAATATTCAGATCAAACTTTAAAATATAGTGTATCGTTACAGAGTATCATCATGTACTAACCTATTTTAGGAATATCCCATTTAGAAGAAAACCTCAGCATCATTGAGCATTTGGTAGAATAGTTACAGGATCTTTAGCTCGGAAACCATGCCTTTGATTATAGACCTGTCTATTAATGCTACCCCCTTCAAATGCTATCTGTTAATAAGACTTCCGATCTGTTATGTCTGACCATCTGTCTATTAATAATGTTTTTGTGTTGTACTAATCATCTGACTGGACTCTTGAGTTGTGGGGTTGGGGAGGGGATATATAATTTACCGGTTATTAAAATGTTCAGTGCAGGTTTGAAGGTAAGATACATATATATTTTGCTTTAACATATATTGAATAGTCGATTAGTGATGTCTTATAAAAAGAAAGAAATAGTAAATTGTCTTTGTTATGCTGTTGTTTCCTGTTCATACTGATGTATCTGTTTTAGCGGGAAATATTGTGATAGTGATGAGTACAGAGGCTGGAGTGATCAGTGGGGTGCTGCCCTCTAGTGAGCGGTGGCGTATCAACCTCCATGATTTGGGTAACAACATGGTAAATTGATTTAATCAAAGCAGTTTTTTTGTGAGTTCAACAACATTTCTTAAATGTCTTATAATCAGAGTCATTTTAGAATCTCTTAAACAGTTGTTGTTAAGTATTCGTACTTAATTTGACGATATCAAAGTTAGAAAATGTACGGTTAATTGTCAGCATAATTTAGCCCTTAGAGACCTAAGGTATCAAAAAATGAAATATAGTGGCTGACACTTATGGGGGCTCGCCTCCAAAACTACCATGCATATTTCAACTTGATTTCCAAATTAGGTTTCCTCCCACACAAAGACCCCCACATGCGCTAACGTCCGGGCCACCAAGAGTGATTAATATAAGTTGAATAGCTTATAACTTGTTTCATAATTGTTGTAAAATAAATAAAGTTTATATTTAAAATTGTCCTAGTTAGTGAATAATCGTTTAAAACCCCTTGGACCTCTGAATGTGTGGGTTGTGGGGTTCATAATGATAATTGACTTGGGGTAAAGGCGGATGGAGATCACAAAAGATGCCTTCCTGTGCCCCCTTCCCCCTTTCAATAAAGTTTTTACTCGAGTCCTGTTAACATACACAAACTTTTGTAATCTTACTTTTTGTGCTTTATGCTTTAAATATTGCTTAATTGGCTTAATACAATATACATAATATTTTTACAAGAACCCAAAGCAGACCGTTTCTGTACGGAGTCTCTTGGCCGCTGAATTAGTCAACCAACATGGCCACATGTCAAGTTACATCATGGCCGCCGATGACAACAAGAACTTGATTATTATCCACCAGGGCACAATAGTAGCCATCCTCAAGACAACGTCCATTATCACTGCTGTAAGTACAGCCTGGCATGGCCACTGATTGGTGAACAATCATTTAATAGGGTTGTATGTGATCCTACATTTGTTAACAGTTTCTCTTTCAAGAATGTCATACTTTACTTCAATTTATTTTTCATGAAATATGTAACATCCTTTATTTACTTTGTTTTAAAATTTATTTGATTTAATTTCCAATATTCACTGTAGTTAAATTAAATATTTGCTTTGGGGCTTTTTCAAAATATTTTTTTGTTTGACTACGTACTTTAATTTTTTATGCATATTTCATTTAATACTTAAAAAGTATATTTTCAAAGCATCAACCATGTAGGTACATGTTTTGGGGGAAATTGAGGTCAATATCAAATTAATTTTAGCCAGATCACAGAATATTACTCCTTTTTTCGGAAGAGTTTTAAGGAAAGCAACTTCTTCCTTTGGTTTAAATGTGCCTTAAATATTTATCATGTAGGTGGGTCATTAAAGGTCCAACCTTGAGCAGGAGTAGTTAGCTCACCTTGGGCACAGCTAATTACATGTATTGTCAACTTGTCCTTTTGAATTCTTGAATGGCCAAGGGGACATTAAGAAGTAATCAAACCAGGTAAATTTAAACTAAAATTGATAAAATCTTGCTGGTTCGATTCTTAGAATTTTTTATTTCACCGACAGATGTGCCAGGGTAGGTTCGTGGCAGAAGACCAACTGCTCCCGTTAGGAATACCTTCCGGAGGAGGACCCGCCATCTCGTCACAAGTAGCTCTAGGGTCAGAGAGTGGAGCAGTGTATATCTTTCACAACTTCAATGTATGTGTGCCCATAAAATTGAGATTTCGTACATTTTGTTTTATAACAGACAAGTCTATATGATAAGTAATGATAGAGTTTGAAACAAAAGACATAGGTCATATCACATGAACATGAATAAGTTTTCACCAATGGTTGCTTGCTTTCCTTACAACAATGCAAATCAAGGGATTAGCTCATGTTTCCTCATGCTAAAGATTTATAATTACCAAACTTACAAAAAGAGCAACTGACCAATGCCCTTATAAACATCTACTTTAAAATATTTAAAAAGAAAGAAAGAATATAATAGCATCATGACTAGTGTCCACAATCCTGTATATATTTTTTAAATTTCTTTATAATTTACATAATACCACAATTTCCTTTATAGATTGTTGACTTTACTTTGTCTAGGTAACAGAGGATGAATATGCTAATACCCAGTACCCTATCACAAACCTCCGAGCTCTGACGGTCCCAGACAAAGACACCGACCTGCTTCTGTGTACTGGTCACTTCAATTCCTTAAATGTCTACTCTGATGGGAAGGTCAGTATTTATACGGGGGATATCTAACCAGTGATGATCCGTCATTATATTCATACAATAGGACCAGTTGATTATCTGATGTATGTTCTACAGGCATCAGAGTGGTTTTGATAGTGAATTCAACAGGACAATCTTTCATCAATGCTCAGGAGTTAGAATTTAGATGTCTCATAATTCATAGAAATTTAGATGTCTCATAATTTATAGAAATTGACTTGAAATTGGGAGAAGTTTTAACATTTGCCATGACATAATGTCTTTAATGTTTATTTCACATGAAATTGTCAAAGCAAAAAAGACCCAATTTCGTCAACTTTTGTCACAATCATGTAGATAATTAATATGAATTGTTCTCGTGTTTTAAATACCTTGATGAAATCATAATATGCAGGCCTTTTTCAAGGACCATAATAGATGAAATTATATATCAGAAGGCCCATGGCTAGAAACTGTTCATTTTAACTGTCAGATAACAGACAGGATTTTATCAGCTAGTCCTGGTTGATAAGTGGGACAATGCTGTGTCAAAAAAAAGTTCCAATCTTCCTATAAACACAAAATGATTAGTGAGACAGTCAGATTATAAGTGCTGGCAGGATTAAACAAGCATTGCTTTAACATCATAACATCAATCCTTAAATCTGGTAGATGTACTAGCTAGTAGATAGTCTAATTCTGTTCAATCATTAAGTTTGATCAATTTTAGTAGATTTCTGGATAGTTTTGAAAGTTTTATATACATACCTGGTTTACACAAAATATGATTCAGTATTATATTTTAGAAGGCAACTCGGTTATCGAGTACATATATGATCAGAGGTCTTGTGAAATGTCTTCTGTATTTTAGAACCAGGAACAGATTTGAAAATTAATATAGATCAGGTTTTATTAAATTGCTGTCGTATATTTCTGTTTTAAGATTTACACTTCATAGTATGTTAGGTTTTTTCTGTGTCATTATATATTTCATGTCATTTTCTCTGATAAAATATCAGTACTAGGTATCCGCGCCATTTCTTCTATGAAATTATGATGTTGTATTATAACATGCCATTTCCCTCCGATAGAATGTCATACTTGGTCATGCCGCTTTAATGTAATAATATTATGTCATACCATTTTCTGTGTCTTGTAGAAAGTTGCCCAGCACCAGACACCTGATTGGATAAATTCTCTGGAGGTTGCCGACCTTGATGGTGACGGAACTAAGGAGGTCGTGTTCGGTTGTCTTGACAACAGTGTCCATGCTGTCAAAGTTTCTCCAACTTGAAGTACGATTTTTAAGTGGAATTTGTGATGATCAAATGATACAAACATGTCAACTGTGCGTTAAGAGCAGGCCTCTAATGTTATCAGGACATGTTTGACCTGGACAGTACTGGTCAGTACTGGTCAGATTCATTCGTTACTGTTGAATGTAGACATACACAAAAGGAGGACAAGACAAACATTCATTGAAACAATTGTGCTGGTCAACTGGTCAACTGGTCAATTGGGTCAAACATACTTTGCAATACTATAAACACAAGATATACTATTGCCCGTTTTTCTTAATTAAAAAAAAGAAAATAATTTTCTTGTTTATTGTGCATTATGCAGATTTTATTCATTTGTTTCTGTTGAAATGAAAAGAATAAATTGACAAACTGAATAAAAGATTTCAAAAAAAACACATTTCTATTTGACCAAATTATTGATGTGAATTGTCATACAATGTGACATCTGATTCTTTTGTTGAAAATTTTATGAAACTGGGGAAATGAACAATAACCACAACATTTAATGCAAACGATATTAAACTACGGTATCTTTCATATTTATCACAGTTTCTCGGAGAACATGGACAGTGTCTGAAGAATAGCCGTTACTCAAACACTAGTATATTCAGGAGAGCCACTTCCTTTCATATATATGCATTTCTTATTACTTAAAGGCATTTTTGGGGCAAAATTTGGAGGCAATCACTGGAAAGCAGGGTGACTTTCGTCACACCCCATACCTTACCAGGAGTTTATAATTGAATTATATTATAAAGGTATTTATTTGAACAACTAACAAACATTTACTTTACTGCTGAAATGTTGTCCTATTTTTATATTTTCCAGTCATCATATGAAGTTGAGGTTTTCATCAGTCATTCCAATATATAAATGGAAAAAATTCAGATTGAAAGAAAAATATGAAGATAATTTTCATTGTCATGATAATCACCAAATTATTCATTTTAAAAAAAAAGACTCTTGTATTGAAATTTAGAAAGAAAACTGGAATGTTCAAATCATGGCTGCTCTTCCCACACAACACGATATTAAGTAATGAGTTGTCAATCAAGCAATGATAAGTCATTGACCTTCTTTACATATATCTTATAAACATAAAACACCTGAATCTGTCATACTTCCATACCATGAACTTGCACACAATGCTCAGTGTTACAAACCCTATTCCAATATACATGTTTAACAATATTCACACATAGGTGTCTGTCAATGATTTAATTTATATGCTTATTTCGTTCTACCTTGGAACTCACAAAGATTAAACACAATACTGGTAGTTACAGTGCAAGATCTGAATGTAAATGAGAGATATACCTGTGTTTATTGACAACTGAAAATAAGCACCTGTGTTTATTGACAACTGAAAATAAGCACCTGTGTTTATTGACAACTGTGAAAATAAGCAAATGTTCCAAGTAGAATTGATTTCCCTCGCTGTGGTGTGGTTGAAATATCCAAATATATCTGGAGAACATCAACCAATCAGAATCATGGAAAACATGCAGGCACAACAATAGTCCAGGAATTACATCAATATTTCAGAAAAAGTTTTGAAAATTAGGTGCCACAAATAGGGCAGGTAGCTAGGAAGATATTTCATTTATGGATTGCATGTGAGGTACTTTCTTACGGCCAGCTTCTGAAGTCTGATCTCTGCAGCTGTGTGGAGAGGATTTGTCTGTTATATATCTAAGCACTATGACAGTTCGCTGTATACCTGTACACATACAATGAAATGTTTAGGTTACAAATGGACTGCAAAATTAATGCTAACAACAGAGAAATAGAACAGCCCTAACTTAATTCTTTACACACAACAAGAAATAGAACAACCCTAACCTAATTCTTAACACACAATAAGAAATAGAACAGCCCTCACTTAATTCTTAACACACAATAGGAAATAGAACAGCCCTAACATAATTCTTTACACACAATAAGAAATAGAACAGCCCTAACTTAATTCTTTACACACAATAAGAAATAGAACAGCCCTCACTTAATTCTTAACACACAATAGGAAATAGAACAGCCCTAACTTAATTATTTACACACAATAAGAAATAGAACAGCCCTAACTTAATTCTTTACGCACAATAAGAAATAGAACAGCCCTAACTTAATTCTTAACACACAATAAGAAATAGAACAGCCCTAACTTAATTCTTTACACACAATAAGAAATAGAACAACCCTAACCTAATTCTTTACACACAATAAGCATATAGAAGTACTCTACTTACATGAGGTCATTTGTATTCTCATTTTCTATAACCATTTTTTTCATAACGATTAACATTAAAGCTATCTAGGATTTCAGTGATTTAATGGTATGTAGTATTAGCATGATTTTGCACTTTCCAAAATAGCACACAAAAACTGCTAATATATTTATATGATTTTCACTTACAAAAAACTGTTAACCGCATCACACTAGTGTGATGGGGTTGGTTCACTGACTTGTATCACAATTTGTTCTTTGATAAAAATGTTACAATATGTTGCATGTACATTACATTTTGTGGAAATATAAATATTGACTTCTCCAGGAGAAAAATAAAATCTGATGTCCCTAAATATCCAAATAACAAAGCAAATCATGAAGCACAGTTCACTTCTTGGAATAAACACAGCTTTTGAAAGAAAATAAACCACTGAAATAAATAACAATGCATTATCATATCTCCAGACTGAACAATTGCCAAGAGACAAAAAAGAACTTGAAATGTGGTGTTACTTATCTGCGATTTGTGGGCGAGTTATCCCCCTTTACACATTATACACAGTATGAGAAATTTCCCTTCAAAATGATACTTGTAATATATTTTAACAGCGATGTTCCTTATCACTTGATACATTTCAATTGGGATTTCCAAGATATCTTCCTTACACGTTATACATGGAGTAATGTAATGACTTCATTACTTTTGTATCATCGCTTGCATTCTTGTGTACCTTCCAGAAGTGTCATACATTCTTGTTTACTTGTTAAGGTGTCATCAATGCTTGTGTTCCTTTCATAAGAGCCATTCATTCTTGTGTACCTTTCAAAATTATCAGTTTAATAACCGTTGTCCATTTTATCTTTATTATTATGGGTATTTGATGGATTTTCTTGGCTTTGAACTGTTTTCGAAAGGAGCAGTATTTCACAGTAAGGTAGAATATTGTGTATACCAGGAAATTCTCACCAGTTTAAATTGGCCTGTTTGCCCTCTGAACTGAAGGTAATTTATAATGACAGTGAATACCATACTTGTACACATATCATATGCAGTATAGTAATTAAGCGCAAAATCAAGACTGGGTAAATTCTAATTGAATTTTTACAGAACAGAGATATTTGACTGAAAATTTTCTGGTATTAAACATTTGATCCTCCAATGCTTTACTTGTACCCAGAATACGCTTTATATGATCTTTAACATACACTGTTAGGTCGGAACACAATTATTATAATTACACAGTGTAACCATTTAGTCCATGGTAAATATACGAGAGGCTATATCATCTACAACCCAGTCAATGCCCTTCAGTAAGTTGTCCCCGGTTACAGCACTACATCCTTGTATTAACCAATGGTGAGTTTCTATGGATTCCAGCTGCAGTGCCTGAAAATTTCAAAGAAAAATCTTAACGAAGAAAACACACGCTTGAAAGAACACAAAATATCTTAGCAGACAGGAGGGTCAGTCCCACTTTTTCAGTATAACTTTTGATCCCCATAGGCTAAGCATGCTTGCACCAAAATTGGGTTGAATTCTGTGCAGCTCTTTGGGAGGAGATCAAGTTTAATGCTAGTGTTGTCAGACAACAAATAACGAATGGATGTCTGACGAAGCACCATCACATATGCTCACTCTTGTAAAAGTTCCTTGGCTGTTGCACTAATTTCAAAAAACATTGGTGACTTAAAAAAAGGCTCCCTTTCCTTTCGAAATTGTTTTTCAAGCTACCAGTACAGATGATAATACATCTAAAGACATGTAACTAATTTTCAAACATAATGTTTTTAATGTAATTCATCAAACTGTATGACATTCTATAGGAACAGTTTTATTTTCTTGATCATCTCTCAGTACCTTTAGCTCGAAAGAGACCCAGAGGGCCTGTATCGCTCACCTGGGTTTTCAAACAAACATGGGAAAATATTCTCAATAAAAGTACTTTTGCAAATATTTTCATATATTGAGTCTCCTAGGCTTTACAATGTTTCACTAAATGAATATTTATACAACTCTATCCCAGTATGCTACTGGCCAAATATCATGGCCCTAGGTCCTCTAATTCTTCAGAAGAAGTTGCTCAAAGAAAAAGTTGCCAGACAGATGACAGATGACAGACAACCGCAAACATGGACAGCTCAACTGGCACTTCGTACCAGGTGAAGTAAAAATGATCTGCAATGTTATTCAAATATTTTATATAAATAAAAACTTACATCTTTGATTGATTCCGATGACAAAGCACCAGGTAAATCTTGTTTATTTGCAAATACCAGTAATGTAGCCCCGGCAAGTCTCTGAAAATGATATAAGATCACAATTATAATACATGTACATGTATCTTAATTGAAAATGATATAAGATCACAATTATAATACATGTACATGTATGTATCTTAATTGAAATGATATAAGATCACAATTATAATACATGTATGTATCTTAATTGAAAATGATATAAGATCACAATTATAATACATGTATATATCTTAATTGAAGTTTTCAGTACATGCATGAAACATGTACAGTGAATTTAATTTTTCATTTCGGTAACAAGACAAATATGATACCATATTTACAGGATGAGACATCAGTAAAAAATGTTTACAAGATGAAGAATACACTTTTAAAACACATCGAAGACTCATGTTACGTATTCTTGTAATTGGCATGCAAGTTATTTGTATCAAAACAAAACTAGTGCAGGTGTATAGGTGTCAATAAATGTCAAGGAACAGAAGATTGTTTCTTTAAAAAATCTCCTTAATGACAAAAAATTATCAAAATAATAGTTTTAAGGATCCTTGTACCAATGCCAAAAATTGTAACTACACAAGGTAACTTGTAACTACACGAGGTAACTTGTAACGACACGAGGTAACTTGTAACGACACAAGGTAACTTGTAACGACACGAGGTAACTTGTAACTACACGAGGTAACTTGTAACTACACGAGGTAACTTGTAACTACATGAGGTAACTTGTAACTACATGAGGTAACTTGTAACTACATGAGGTAACTTGTAACTACACGAGGTAACTTGTAACTACACAAGGTAACTTGTAACTTGTAACGACACAAGGTAACTTGTAACTACACGAGGTAACTTGTAACTACACAAGGTAACTTGTAACTACACGAGGTAACTTGTAACTACACAAGGTAACTTGTAACTTGTAACGACACAAGGTAACTTGTAACTACACGAGGTAACTTGTAACTACACGAGGTAACTTGTAACTACACGAGGTAACTTGTAACGACACGAGGTAACTTGTAACTACACGAGGTCACTTGTAACTACAAGAGGTAACTTGTAACTACACGAGGTAACTTGTAACTACACAAGGTAACTTGTAACGACACGAGGTAACTTGTAACTTGTAACGACACAAAGTAACTTGTAACTACACAAGGTAACTTGTAACTACACGAGGTAACTTGTAACTACACAAGGTAACTTGTAACTACACGAGGTAACTTGTAACTACACGAGGTAACTTGTAACTACACAAGGTAACTGTTTTATCTGGCATGACTTAATCTGTGATTAAACATTTCTGAAAACCTTACCTTTCAGCACTTTTATGACAAATAATAAAGGTGAAAGAAACAAAATATATATAACAATAGTGTTCTGAGTTTAAAACAATAGTCGTGGCTAGATCGACATTGGTGAGATGTGAACCCTGAACTTGAGGTTGTTAAACTGTTGCTCTAACCAACTGGTCAATAGAAGCTCGGGTGGTCGGGTGGTGTAGTGGATAGCGCACTTGCCATTCACCAAGGCTGCCGGGGTTCGATTCCCCTATCAGACAAAAGGTTGTCATTCTGAACCAGCCTTGATCAGACGTGGTATCAGGAGTATTTGATAGCATCTGGATCTTGGTGTACAAGTAAATTATAAGTGCCTTGTTGATTAGAGATGTTGTTTGTATGTCAATTTAATTTTGTTACAAGTGTAATCACATATACACTAACAAATAAAACGCACCCTAGGAAAGGTAACTCGGCCTTTTGGGAAGTTCACAGTATCCATTTAAATGGAAAATAAACTTGTCATTAAATTTTGATCACTTGCCTCTTCCACTAACAGGTTCTCAAGTTCTCGTTTACAATCCTGGAGTCGCATCCTGTCAGCACTGTCTACCACCCATATCAAACCGTCCGTGCTCTCAAAGTAGTTCCTCCAATAGGACCGTAGCGACTTCTGGCCACCAACATCCCACACATTCAACTTAAACCTGATGGAAGCAATAACATTATTTGGAATATTTTTTCGTCTATCTCTATGCTAATTATATAACAACACATATATTTATAATTTGTATTTGTGTTGGAGTTGTCTCCCTTGAACACTTTTGATCAACATCATCAGATCTAATAATTAAGATCTACCTTGATTGTTATCAATTATTCATTCGTTTCTGTAAAATTTCATTCAAATGTGGAGAAGGCTAAAATATGGCATCATTTAAAATAATTAACCAGGTTCAAATTATAAACCATCAGCTGCATTCTAAGGGTACTTATAATAATTGAGAGAGTTGTTTGAAGTTTGCATCCCATTTGACCCTTGAGACCAAGAATGTTAGGCGAAGAAGCCGTAATTTATTTCACTCCAGGCTAGCTACAGGTCAAATAACATAATTGATTATGTTATACTTTGTGTGCAATGCAACAAAAACATTCTAGATAGCAGCCTTTCAGTACATACCCTCTATGCTCCAGGGTCTTTATATTAAATCCCAGTGTTGGAGATATAGTATCAATATCCTCTCCATTAAACTTCTTCAATATCGTAGTCTTGCCAGCATTGTCAAGTCCTCTAGGTACATTCAGTTAAGGGTTCAGTATTATCATGATCACCTAATAAGTTTTATTATTACTAATAACCCAATGAATAAAAAAACATGCATACAGACTGGTATTTATATCTGGTAAGCAGTTTATGATATACATAGATAGGACTGTTGTTGTCTCTTTCCCCTTATTAATTTCTGTATAATTGACAATAATACAGCTGTTTTGGTAAACAATTATGAAATGTTATGCTTTAAATTTTAGAGAATTCAAGACATAATGCACGAGTCTGCTCTTCTTCGAACTTGAAATGTTGCAGATGAGACTGGGACAATCGCGGGCAACCAGGCTGTTTAGCTGATTTAAAAGAGTGTCTCTCTAGAGTTCTGAGGTCCCGGTTCAAACCCAGGTCTAGCTTGCAGTCAATTTTTCTTCTCTTGTTACAGTGATGCCTGTAACCAGCCCTTGTTTCAAGTACTGGGTGAACACTTGGCAATGGGTGAACACTTGGCAATGGGAAATCTTCACCTGGGTTGTTAATAACATCTATCTTCAGGAGCAAACACTTATAAGTAAAAGGATGGAGGAATATAGGCGATTATGGTCAAATCCTGGCCTGGCCACTTATTTTCCCTCTCCTGTTACAGCAGCAAATAAAAAATATATTTATATTGTACAAAACCTACCTCTATGTGGAGATATTTTCAGATTTAGAGGGAGGTCTTACTTTGTGAAAGTTTCAGAGAAGGATACATATGCATGAATATGGACACTCTTAACTCTAGGTGGATGTTGTTCCAAGATATATGAACCACAGCGACAAATTATATTTAATTCTAGGCAACATAAGCCATGTTTAGGTTCAAGAATCCCTCTGAAATAAGTTATAGACACCCTTCATTCCAACTCCCTATTATAAAGCCTTATCAGAACAAGAGATCCCAGAGGGAGCTTTGCACCCACCATAGTACCAACTTCATTAGCTCTATGTCAGTTTGATCTTTTCTCTTCTTTTCTCTTATCTGTTCGATCAGTTTGCCTATCTGTCACCTTAATCAATCTTTTGATCAACCTTAAAAGTTAACATGCACAGCTCAGGATCACTGAGTGAAGGGGAACCTACATGTCAAATTTGAGAAAAATTCCTCCTGTTCATTCTGAGATAATAGCGATAACAAACTTTAACTCTAACAAGATGGCCGGACAATATGATTTGATATGCATAACTAAGAACAAGAAGAACCCTTATGTGAATTTGAGAAAGATCCCTCCAAGACTTTTTGAGCAATCGGGCTAAAATAATTTTACTCCCAAATCAATATGACCACCTGCCAGCCATCTTGGTTTTCCAATCATCCCCAAAATTTGAAATACGGAACTATATATATAACGGAGCGATTGGGAATGTTAACCTTCATGTGAAATTAGAGAAAGACCTCCTGAACATTCTGAGAAATAACGCTAACAAACTTTCATTCTCAAATTCAAGATGACCTTTATTCTGTCCCAAAATTTAATATGCATAACGAGGGGTGACGGGGACCTTTCTGTCAGATTTGAGAAAGACTCTTCCGGAACTTTCTGAAAAACAGCGCATAGGGTACTTTTCTGAGTAACAGTGCTAACAAGAATTGTTTAAAGATGGACAGATGGACCATGGCAACAGGGTGATTTGAATAGCCCACCATCCGATGATGGTGGGCTAAAAACCCAATTAAAAATTGGAACTTATGTATGAATTTAAATCAATCGAACATGTACACTATATATTGAAATGTTTCATAGCGAGGTTAACATAGGAAATAGCATGTCAGTCTCTGCGACCCAATCAAGTCTTTACTTAGGAAATGACATATTACCTAAAGTTAACGTATATATACCTACATTGTAAATGATTAGTTACATATAAGTCATGCAGAGCTTAATTTCTCTTTCGCTAGCTGTCGAGTCATATTCTGGTCTTAAATTTTGAGCTATTCGTAGCTATGACTCACAAAGTGAACTAGCCAAGCCACCGAACCTGAATTATATATATTATGTATATGAATACCAAAAGGATACAACATTAATATCCTGACTTCTTTCTCCTTCTGCTTCATCTTCTTTAATATCGTGAGGAGACCCATGATTGATGTTATGGGCGTCTTAGGATTTCTTAAAAAAGCCAATGCTTCAGTATGTCATGTTAAAGTTGTTTATTCTGAACTCTTCAAGTGTGGAGGTAGCAAAGTTAAATTATCAAAAACCGTCAAAGGTTGTTCGCGAAATTTAGAGATAAATTATCACCAATAAACTAAGACTATCAAAATAAATAGATATTGACGGTATTTTCACCATCAAACTTGCTCGATTCTCTAATGAATGTACTACGAATAACTTTGTGTATGTCGCAATCCATCACAAGGGAAGATGGCGGCCAAGAGCAAGGATCGACTCTGGCAGTTTGATGTTTCCGACCCTACCAAGCATCCCGATGGTTTTACTGTCTACAAAGTATCATGCAAGGTTGTTAGTTAATCATTTTAATGGTTATCTGGTTAGGTAATATGGTAAAACTGTTTCAAATTCGCATGGAAATCTATCATAAATCAGCTGTCTGGTAGCCGGTGATGCATGGTTGCCACAGTCGGTGCATGACAGTTGTCAGAAAATGTGGTACTGGCAATTTCATTCCACGTTGACAAAGTAGTTTAGATTAGATGATTAAAGCTCTATTGAATAATTGTCCTTATTATTATATCGAGTTGTTTAGTTCTATAATTTACAAATGATGTGTTCAGTTATCCAGCAGATGATGCTGACCCCACAGGGGCATGGATCGCTTTACTTGTAACATAAAAAAATAGGGGTCTCCTATACTAATATATACAAAGGGATATAACGACAGACGAAAAATCCGTTACCCCCTTTTCTCTTTCAGCCCGTGTCAATCACAAATCTTTGTCCATATTGGATATACCTCGGTTGAATATTGAAGACAATTGATTTATTTACAAAATGAAACCATAACTACGACTGTCTGACACATAGTTATCCACTGACACCGCTTTAAGGTTGCAATTACACCATTAAATTGCGACCAAACCAAATTCTATACTCACGAGAAATGACCAAGTTTCAAGGATAAACTCGATAAATATATCCAAGGAATGGTTTAAATCCTTATTTGATATTCTCAATCCAATACATGTGCTGCCCGCTTCTCTGAAATACTACGTCGATCAGTTTCTACACACGACAAGTGGTATATGGGAATTTTCCCCCTCGCACACCTGCATTACACAGTAGCAGTCGACAACTAGACGCTATTTTCTTTCGAATTATTTTACGCTCCGCACAGAATGATGTCCCGCCCTATCATTGGCTACCTGTATGTATGCGAAAGGGAAGCTACTCCAAAAATGTTACCTCATTTGTTTTCTGCCACTGATAGGGCGGGACATCATTCTGTGCGGAGCGTAAAAATTAGTATAGGAGACCCCTATTTTTTTATGTTACAAGTAAAGCGATCCATGCCCCTGTGGCTGACCCATAAGTAAATGGCCTCACTGAAACATGCCAAGCTTGGAATTTTCACCATGCCTATGCTATACAAAATCTGGAACTAAACTGTAAACAAAAAGACACACTGTCAATCTGGCCCCAACAAAACTTTGTGTGTATACATAAACACCACTTGCATCTTTCCCCACTTCTTCAAAATCCAATTATTAGGTGCATGAGGTGATTTAAATTAAATTCTCTGCATTATGATTAATATTCATGGATTGTTTTTGTGGCAGAATCAACATCTCTAACATATGCAACCAGCTTACCTTGTAGCTATTATACAATTCAAGTTAATCTAATTAGTTTGGTAACAAACAATGAAATCCTGCATGTTCATAACATACAAATGAAGTAATGTTTTGATAAAGACTGTAAATGGTAAATTAAAAAGTACCTGTTTTTAACTTTAATAGCTATAACCATGCATGAGCCTTAAATTCTGTCAGGCCAAATAAAAAAATGTGTTTCTGGCTCCCTTACACAAGATGTACCCTGAAAAAATGGGTTCCTGGCTGACCCTATATCTAACATACACAAGATGTACCCTAAAAAAAAGTGCCAAACCAGAAACACTATTTGACAGAATGACCTTGGCCCCTTAATTCTAATGTGATTTTGCTTGTATGGTTTTGATGACCTGCAAAATGCAGAAAATAGTGTAAACACTTTTGTAACCAAGCTACATGATGACTTTGACTTGGCACAAATCATAAAATAAAAAGGCACAGATTACAATGTAGACATTTCAAGGATGCTTCAAGCCTTCAATATAAAAAATAAAATAAGACTAAGGTATGTGATAAAATTCAACCATGGTTCAGCACGCTACAGAGATATATAGATAAACCAATCAAGGAAATCTGGGCTTGATGATCATGCGTTTCCAGTGATTATATATTGCTCAAATTTTGTAATTAAAACATGAATGCTTTCTTTTTTTAGGTGTTCCAGATCCATTCACCTGAAAGTTTGACAGAGGTAAGTCTTATATTGAAAAAAACTGGCAACAGAAGATGATATCAGGGATCCATGTTCTACTGTAATTTTGGTGATTTTTTTTGTATATAAATACAGTTACCTCTCCATTATTTTGTTTTATTTACAATTGCCTTAATTTCCCTCATAGAAAACATGGTAACAGCAACTGTATTTACATGCCAATAAAATGGGTCAAGAACATGACCTAGTCGGTGAAGTAACAATTGGCATAGGAATACATGTACACAAGTCAAGTTCTAGACTCTAAAGTTGATACTTATTAAAAACAAAATTTTAAACAAGAAATAAATAAAATATAACGAGAAATCTGTGTATTGAGGGTCGTCTGCTAAACTTGGACACCTGCCAGTTTTACATGTCGGTAACGAATTGACCGAACGATGGCTGGTGCATTTGGTAATTTGATGCTATCTCTACCAGAAGAAGATAATGTTGTAAATGTCTTGTTAGACTTCAAATAATATACGTACATGCATGCTCGACTTGATTTATTACCTCATAAACAAAGAAAAGTTGAAATGTAATCCTTAATTGGATATCACTGTAGCACAGTCGGGCCAGGAAACGTCTGTTCACCAAATAGCTCAGTTGGTAAGATTGACAGTATAACAATCTGAGGTCTAGGGTTTGAATCTAGGCTGAGCCTCATTAACTTTTTACACTTAGAACACTGTTGATAATGTTATTTTGTTTATTTCTTTTTTAATATATTTTCATAAAAGTTCAGAAAGGTATGTGTTTACCTTGGTATATGGATTTCCTTTTGGAAATGACTTATTACAGCTATAGTCATGTCAGAAAAATCAGTTTTCAATGAAAAGTCACAGTTTTTGGCAGGAATCCTCAAGAGGAGTTTATGTCAAATTGCATGAAAAACAAACTCATAACATGTATAGATAAAAATAAAGTTAAGAAAATCATGGTATTGTCTGAAATGTGTTATCAAACAGATATCCTGTGTATCTATTTGACGTGCAGTCCTCACATCATTGAAAGCCATATACAGATAATACTGTACTTGAAGTTACTAAAACATCATGTCAATTTTTTCTCAAAATTTGTTGCAGATACTTTTATGGAAAAGATACAATGACTTCAAGAACTTATTCCGAGTGATGTTGGCACTTCACAGAGCTCTTCACAGAAAGGAGGAATTCCCCAAATTTGCCAAACCCAAACTTTTTGGTAAGGAAACGTAAAAACTGAATTTTATGGTTGATATTTTTTAGGGGCCAAAGTCAAAACTAACCTCACTGGGATTAGACTATTTTTTCTACTTTTGTAAATGTTTTTCTCAAGCTCTGTTATAAAGTAGGTCATGATCATTTGCTTATTTCCCTGAAAGTTGAAATGTTTGTTTCCGAATCACTTAATGGTCATTAGGTGAATTGTCTTCTGTACAATATAAAATATATAACTCTTTGTAATGTGATGAGACAGATTCTCAGAAAAAAAACTTACAATCTCTCTGGATGAGTTTTTCAGACATGTATTGACAAGTAAAATAAAGCACAAATTATTTTACAATCATGTAAAAGGGAACTTTATAGATCCTACCCCAAAAAGGGTGAAATTCTGTTTCTGAATTTACAAGATTTAATGATTTTTCAAGATCTCTCATACTTATATATTCTTCTGGAACTTTGTATAAATGAAATTGTTAATTGTTAACTAATTTGTTTTTGTGTTTATCAGGTCGTTTTGAAGATTCTGTGATAGAGGAAAGACGTATCAGTGCCCTACAGTTACTGAACTTTATTGGTAATCAGCCTCATCTTCACAAGTCAAAGGCATTCCAGGAATTTCTAAAGGTACACTGTTACATTGATTCTCTGGACCAGACGGATCGTGATGTATTTAACTACAAGTTATTCATAAAACAGTTTACCAAACCTGAATTCTCTTGCTTAATAAAATTTTTCTTTCAGTAGAAAGGATAAGATTGGAAGTCCTTTTTGTTGTATAAGGCAAAATGTGGAATTGAACAAAATCTGTGCGAAATAAATTTGCATGCTGCACTCTGAATCATCAGTCAATTTCTGCACAATACCTTAATCGAATATGATCAGATTCTGACAAAACTTGGTAAATACTCGTTTTAGACTAAGATTTAGGCTATGTTTGGAGAAAACATTTCTAAATCTCCAAAGTTGGATGGAATTTTAGATCAAATATATAAGCAAGGGAAAAAACCCAGACACTTGACACACAAAACATCCATCACTGAACTGATCTTTTGATTCCATATTGATTTTCCATATAAGGTATATGAGAGGGCTATTGTAAACCTTCGGATGTAGTTGTTGAAAGATGACCTAAATATTGTAAATTTGCATTTTCAGTATTTTTAGAAAGCATGTCACTGAACTAGAAAATGTACAGATGGTCTGATTTAAATTTTTCATCACAAATAATTACAAAAAGATTCATATTTTGATGAATTGGTTTGAAAAGAGCTGGACTCTTATTTTAAATCTGTTATTATCGTGGACAGGGAGGGAAGCAGAGACACGGTTTGTTTGGAAGTACAATGAAGCCGTCTAAACTGGACATTCTGTCTCCAGACTCCACGTCATCCACAGAATCCGAGGATTCACTGAATAAATCTGGTAGCGACCTGCTGCAGCCAGTAAAACATCCCCCGAGCGACCAGAACAATGTCACTGACGACAGCAACACAGACGGAGATTCAGAACACAGGTGTGCTTGTGTAGAGTAATATACAGTTACACAGAAATATTTCACTGTTATAACAGATACAATAACTAATGCTGACAAAGATTCAGGACACTGCAGGTGTGCTTGTGTAGAGTAATATACAGTTACACAGAAATATTTCACTGTTATAATAAATACAATAACTAGTAAGAACAATTTACATAAATCTACATAATAATCAGTGAAAAGGTTTCCTTATTTCTGTATGAAATTGCCTTTTTTTATCACCATGCATTGTTTCCTTTTTTTTCTTTTTTTTTTTTTCGTGGGGGTGGGGGTGTCTTTATTACTGTGAATGAAAATACATGTATTAAATATTTAGCTTGTTTGATAAACTTACTTGTATAAAATCTAGGATTATAACATGAAATTTGTTTGAAAGTATGTGTGTAACTCGATTAAAGTGTTTGTAATATAAATTGGTTTGTTTTCCAGTGATCAGAAGGAGTTGAGATTGGAAGGTGTGTGGAATTTCCCACAGATCCCGGACAACATCAGCCTCAATTCGTACGATGATGACGTAGAGGATGCTGATGTTGAGTCGAACCTCAGTGCCTCCCTCCCTGACACAGACATCGCCTACTTCGATCCCCTGTCTACAGATGACCTGGAAAGCAAAACTGATATACACACTAATGGCAGTTGGTTGTTTGCAGCCATGAACACATGTGCAGGTATTTTGATTAGTAAGACGTTTATCAAATACAGAGTCATCTATTATAATGAAAATTTGATGAATACAAAAGAAAAATGAGATTACACTAGAAGACAATGAATGGCTTTATTATTTTTAATTTCATAATAGAAATGGATACCGAGGACTTGAGGGATGATACAGATTCAACAACACCATCAGATACTGATGCTGGTATTCAGGTAATACACTGACTGTATCTATTTCAGTTTTGCAAAAATTCATTATTTTGTTCCAAAAATGTGTACAATGTTTTGATTGAACCATCAAACCTTTTGCATTTGGATCAAGAAAATGTTTCAGAAGGACTGTTGTTTGTCTTTATTTAAATATGCTAATTTTAAATGAGAACATTATTGTTTTAAAACCAAACAGATTGATTTTGACGAAAAGACGGAGGAGATGATGACCTCGACAGATACAGTCATTGAAGTGAAGATTGATGGCGTAGATATCACAGAGTCAAGCAGTGGAAGTCTGAAATCCTCAACACAAGATCTCAGTGAATTCGACCCACTGCGAATGAGGTCTGAATCTAGCATTGAGTATGGTAAGGGTGACCTTGACCTTTCACATGCTACCGGGAAAGGAAGCGCGTCATCGCTTAGTAACAGTGTCACGTCAAGTGCAACATCGTCCCCGGTACATAAGGTTGGTCGCAGTCCACACCGCGTTCGGTCACAAACCGGCGAATCTGTGTCCACTATGGATCTAGGGGGTAAGGAGGACTACATCTATATGGCGGCCAATCAGATCTGTCAGGCACAGGACCATGAGGCCAACGGTCGATATGAGCTCGCCTTCTCCTCATACAAGAGCGGAGTGGGAATCCTGCTCCAGGGGGTTCAAGGTGAGAACGTACAAGGTACTATCAGATTTTACTCTAAACGGAAACCTATGGAGTGGAATTGTCTACTCTCTTTCAAAAGACAGCACTCATCAGTCTCTATCCAATAAGGGTATGACAGTGTTCTCCCCAGGAATTTTTTGATGCGCTATGGTATCTTTTTGTAAAACCCTTCCATCAAAGCGCAGTGCTGCCAACCATTTCCGCGTCACTACCCATCTATCATGCGCGACGCCACTTTGAGAAAGAAAACTCAAAACAAGAGTAATAATTGATGTACTCAATTTTTTACTTGTGACGTAACAATTACAATCATAGTGATTATAATTGTTACGTCACAAATAAAACATTGCTGACATCAGGTTTCACAATTATATGACGCTACCTGGTGAAGGTTTACATTGTTCTTTTTCACATAAATTCTATTTAAGTCAATTTTAAAACAAGGTTTAGAGAAAGAGAAAAGATAATAACTATGTGGGTGTCAAGTGTATGACAGTTTTATCATGGGTGGTATATGTGGTCAGTGCTTCAGCATGGCTAACATTGCTATCCATCCATATACACACATAGCATATTATCTTGTAATACAGCTGTGTGATAAAGATAGAGAATGGCTGGCATTTATAGAATTTTGAATTATGTAGGCATTAATATGGTAGACATAATTATTGTTATTAACAATAACGATATCATACTCAAACAAAGACAAAAAACTTAAAAATTATAACCAAAGCAATGTTTTTTTGTATATATGTAGTTATATATATAAATGTTGTTCATTCATCAGGAGATAAGAATAGAGCAAGGAGGGATGCTGTGAGGAGAAAAACAGCCCAGTACCTCATCAAGGCAGAAGATTTGTACAATAGACACCTGGCTAAGGAGTCTCTGGACCAGAAACGATGGGCAGTATGTACACCCAATAACAAGGCTGAAATGACTTTTGATTATAAGTGTACTTAGATAGATGGTGCAGAATCTGTCATCCATCAACATCAGTTTTTCCTTACAACAACTTCTTCTTCATGCCTAGACTCTTAATATTTGTACCATTGGTTGTGGATGTGGAGGGTGTTGGTACCATTGGTTGTGGATGTGGAGGGTGTTGGTACCATTGGTTGTGGATGTGGAGGGTGTTGGTACCATTGGTTGTGGATGTGGAGGGTGTTGGTACCATTGGTTGTGGATGTGGAGGGTGTTGGTACCATTGGTTGTGGATGTGGAGGGTGTTGGTACCATTGGTTGTGGATGTGGAGGGTGTTGTTACCATTGGTTGTGGATGTGGAGGGTGTTCATTTGAATAACCATCACTCAATTTCAAGGCCAAAAGGGTCAAATATGATTAAAAGAAATAGGTGAAAAATCAAACAACAACAGGAGGGTATTACAAACTTGTAGGGGTGATGTTCCATGTATTACAGTGGTGTAAAAATTGATGAAACAACTTGAGTAAAATCATACATATTGCTATTAACAATTTTTAAAGAGTTACCTCCCTTCAATAGACAGTATTGACACGACTGGCAGGTTCCAACAACAATAAATGTAAAGCTCACTCTGATGCCAGTCAATAGGGTATTTGTTACTAAGGATACATCACCGGTTTATTTAAACTATTTAAATTATTTAAATATATAATTGAAAGAATGTTTTTAAAATGTAGAAGTATTGATAATACTGTATTTCACTCAATACAGAGGAGACAGGAGGCACTACCGGTAATGTCAGTTTGACATATATCTAGTTTTGTCATATTTATAGAAGATTATTGATGTTTTGTTTGCCTCATGTTAATTTTCTGAATAATATGTCACTTAACTTCAATAAGAGGACAAGTCATATTTATGTACAGTAAGGTGTTGATGTTTGCTCACCTAATGGTTGGTTGGAAAATATATTATTTAACCTCAAGAGAAGGAGACAGGAACATTTTTGGCATCAACAATGGTATTGAGTACCTGATTGTATTGTAGGCCGACGGAGACCTGTCACCGCTTTCTGAAGTTGACCCGTCCCTGGCGCTGTTGAAGGGGTCTACCGGGGAGCTGAAGAACTACAAGGTGCTGGGTACGGTAGACAAGGTGTTACTTGTCATGGATAAAAGTACAGATGACACCTACATCATGAAGGTATCTTACATTTATATTTATTCTGTATGTAAATCAGTAATATGTAAGAAGTATCTTACACTTATACTTATTCTGTATGTAAATCAGTAATATGTGAGAAGTACAGACGACACCTACATCATGAAGGTAACTTACATTTATACCTATTCTGTATGTAAATCAGTAATATGTGAGAAGTACAGACGACACCTACATCATGAAGGTAACTTACATTTATACCTATTCTGTATGTAAATCAGTAATATGTGAGAAGTACAGACGACACCTACATCATGAAGGTAACTTACATTTATACCTATTCTGTATGTAAATCAGTAATATGTGAGAAGTACAGATGACACCTACATCATGAAGGTAACTTACATTTATACCTATTCTGTATGTAAATCAGTAATATGTGAGAAGTACAGATGACACCTACATCATGAAGGTAACTTACATTTATACCTATTCTGTATGTAAATCAGTAATATGTGAGAAGTACAGATGACACCTACATCATGAAGGTAACTTACATTTATACCTATTCTGTATGTAAATCAGTAATATGTGAGAAGTACAGATGACACCTACATCATGAAGGTAACTTACATTTATACCTATTCTGTATGTAAATCAGTAATATGTGAGAAGTACAGATGACACCTACATCATGAAGGTAACTTACATTTATACCTATTCTGTATGTAAATCAGTAATATGTGAGAAGTACAGATGACACCTACATCATGAAGGTAACTTACATTTATACCTATTCTGTATGTAAATCAGTAATATGTGAGAAGTACAGATGACACCTACATCATGAAGGTAACTTACATTTATACCTATTCTGTATGTAAATCAGTAATATGTGAGAAGTACAGATGACACCTACATCATGAAGGTAACTTACATTTATACCTATTCTGTATGTAAATCAGTAATATGTGAGAAGTACAGATGACACCTACATCATGAAGGTAACTTACATTTATACCTATTCTGTATGTAAATCAGTAATATGTGAGAAGTACAGATGACACCTACATCATGAAGGTAACTTACATTTATACCTATTCTGTATGTAAATCAGTAATATGTGAGAAGTACAGATGACACCTACATCATGAAGGTAACTTACATTTATACCTATTCTGTATGTAAATCAGTAATATGTGAGAAGTACAGATGACACCTACATCATGAAGGTAACTTACATTTATACCTATTCTGTATGTAAATCAGTAATATGTGAGAAGTACAGATGACACCTACATCATGAAGGTAACTTACATTTATACCTATTCTGTATGTAAATCAGTAATATGTGAGAAGTACAGATGACACCTACATCATGAAGGTAACTTACATTTATACCTATTCTGTATGTAAATCAGTAATATGTGAGAAGTACAGATGACACCTACATCATGAAGGTAACTTACATTTATACCTATTCTGTATGTAAATCAGTAATATGTGAGAAGTACAGATGACACCTACATCATGAAGGTAACTTACATTTATACCTATTCTGTATGTAAATCAGTAATATGTGAGAAGTACAGATGACACCTACATCATGAAGGTAACTTACATTTATACCTATTCTGTATGTAAATCAGTAATATGTGAGAAGTACAGATGACACCTACATCATGAAGGTAACTTACATTTATACCTATTCTGTATGTAAATCAGTAATATGTGAGAAGTACAGATGACACCTACATCATGAAGGTAACTTACATTTATACCTATTCTGTATGTAAATCAGTAATATGTGAGAAGTACAGATGACACCTACATCATGAAGGTAACTTACATTTATACCTATTCTGTATGTAAATCAGTAATATGTGAGAAGTACAGATGACACCTACATCATGAAGGTAACTTACATTTATACCTATTCTGTATGTAAATCAGTAATATGTGAGAAGTACAGATGACACCTACATCATGAAGGTAACTTACATTTATACCTATTCTGTATGTAAATCAGTAATATGTGAGAAGTACAGATGACACCTACATCATGAAGGTAACTTACATTTATACCTATTCTGTATGTAAATCAGTAATATGTGAGAAGTACAGATGACACCTACATCATGAAGGTAACTTACATTTATACCTATTCTGTATGTAAATCAGTAATATGTGAGAAGTACAGATGACACCTACATCATGAAGGTAACTTACATTTATACCTATTCTGTATGTAAATCAGTAATATGTGAGAAGTACAGATGACACCTACATCATGAAGGTAACTTACATTTATACCTATTCTGTATGTAAATCAGTAATATGTGAGAAGTACAGATGACACCTACATCATGAAGGTAACTTACATTTATACCTATTCTGTATGTAAATCAGTAATATGTGAGAAGTACAGATGACACCTACATCATGAAGGTAACTTACATTTATACCTATTCTGTATGTAAATCAGTAATATGTGAGAAGTACAGATGACACCTACATCATGAAGGTAACTTACATTTATACCTATTCTGTATGTAAATCAGTAATATGTGAGAAGTACAGATGACACCTACATCATGAAGGTAACTTACATTTATACCTATTCTGTATGTAAATCAGTAATATGTGAGAAGTACAGATGACACCTACATCATGAAGGTAACTTACATTTATACCTATTCTGTATGTAAATCAGTAATATGTGAGAAGTACAGATGACACCTACATCATGAAGGTAACTTACATTTATACCTATTCTGTATGTAAATCAGTAATATGTGAGAAGTACAGATGACACCTACATCATGAAGGTAACTTACATTTATACCTATTCTGTATGTAAATCAGTAATATGTGAGAAGTACAGATGACACCTACATCATGAAGGTAACTTACATTTATACCTATTCTGTATGTAAATCAGTAATATGTGAGAAGTACAGATGACACCTACATCATGAAGGTAACTTACATTTATACCTATTCTGTATGTAAATCAGTAATATGTGAGAAGTACAGATGACACCTACATCATGAAGGTAACTTACATTTATACCTATTCTGTATGTAAATCAGTAATATGTGAGAAGTACAGATGACACCTACATCATGAAGGTAACTTACATTTATACCTATTCTGTATGTAAATCAGTAATATGTGAGAAGTACAGATGACACCTACATCATGAAGGTAACTTACATTTATACCTATTCTGTATGTAAATCAGTAATATGTGAGAAGTACAGATGACACCTACATCATGAAGGTAACTTACATTTATACCTATTCTGTATGTAAATCAGTAATATGTGAGAAGTACAGATGACACCTACATCATGAAGGTAACTTACATTTATACCTATTCTGTATGTAAATCAGTAATATGTGAGAAGTACAGATGACACCTACATCATGAAGGTAACTTACATTTATACCTATTCTGTATGTAAATCAGTAATATGTGAGAAGTACAGATGACACCTACATCATGAAGGTAACTTACATTTATACCTATTCTGTATGTAAATCAGTAATATGTGAGAAGTACAGATGACACCTACATCATGAAGGTAACTTACATTTATACCTATTCTGTATGTAAATCAGTAATATGTGAGAAGTACAGATGACACCTACATCATGAAGGTAACTTACATTTATACCTATTCTGTATGTAAATCAGTAATATGTGAGAAGTACAGATGACACCTACATCATGAAGGTAACTTACATTTATACCTATTCTGTATGTAAATCAGTAATATGTGAGAAGTACAGATGACACCTACATCATGAAGGTAACTTACATTTATACCTATTCTGTATGTAAATCAGTAATATGTGAGAAGTACAGATGACACCTACATCATGAAGGTAACTTACATTTATACCTATTCTGTATGTAAATCAGTAATATGTGAGAAGTACAGATGACACCTACATCATGAAGGTAACTTACATTTATACCTATTCTGTATGTAAATCAGTAATATGTGAGAAGTACAGATGACACCTACATCATGAAGGTAACTTACATTTATACCTATTCTGTATGTAAATCAGTAATATGTGAGAAGTACAGATGACACCTACATCATGAAGGTAACTTACATTTATACCTATTCTGTATGTAAATCAGTAATATGTGAGAAGTACAGATGACACCTACATCATGAAGGTAACTTACATTTATACCTATTCTGTATGTAAATCAGTAATATGTGAGAAGTACAGATGACACCTACATCATGAAGGTAACTTACATTTATACCTATTCTGTATGTAAATCAGTAATATGTGAGAAGTACAGATGACACCTACATCATGAAGGTAACTTACATTTATACCTATTCTGTATGTAAATCAGTAATATGTGAGAAGTACAGATGACACCTACATCATGAAGGTAACTTACATTTATACCTATTCTGTATGTAAATCAGTAATATGTGAGAAGTACAGATGACACCTACATCATGAAGGTAACTTACATTTATACCTATTCTGTATGTAAATCAGTAATATGTGAGAAGTACAGATGACACCTACATCATGAAGGTAACTTACATTTATACCTATTCTGTATGTAAATCAGTAATATGTGAGAAGTACAGATGACACCTACATCATGAAGGTAACTTACATTTATACCTATTCTGTATGTAAATCAGTAATATGTGAGAAGTACAGATGACACCTACATCATGAAGGTAACTTACATTTATACCTATTCTGTATGTAAATCAGTAATATGTGAGAAGTACAGATGACACCTACATCATGAAGGTAACTTACATTTATACCTATTCTGTATGTAAATCAGTAATATGTGAGAAGTACAGATGACACCTACATCATGAAGGTAACTTACATTTATACCTATTCTGTATGTAAATCAGTAATATGTGAGAAGTACAGATGACACCTACATCATGAAGGTAACTTACATTTATACCTATTCTGTATGTAAATCAGTAATATGTGAGAAGTACAGATGACACCTACATCATGAAGGTAACTTACACTTATACCTATTCTGTATGTAAATCAGTAATATGTGAGAAGTACATATTACACCTACATCATGAAGGTAACTTACACGTATACCTATTCTGTATGTAAATCAGTAATATGTGAGAAGTACAGATGACACCTACATCATGAAGGTGACTTACATTTATACCTATTCTGTATTTCCACTCCTACTTAACGCTTAGCAATTTAGGAGTGGGATGACTGGTTCGCCCACTGTCAGTATAATGAGACCGGGTGGGGTTTACTGTATGTTTCAGTGAGGTAGCACTATAAAGTCAGCATCAGTTCCGGGCTATTACAAGGAGACAAACATGAACATATCGCAGCCTCCCAAAACACACACACATACACTACACGCATGCATCTTGCACACAGGCTAGGGAGGCCGTCCTTAAATGACCATAGCTGTTGATAGGACGTTAAACAATACTGAACAAAACCAAACCAAACCTATTCTGTATGTAAATCAGTAATATGTGAGCGTTGTCTGTAGGTATTATTAATGAATATCTTAAATTCTTAATGATGAAGATGCTATTTTAATAATGATAGAAATTATATACCTGAAAGATTATAAATTTCTGAACGATTTTCACACCGATTCTTGCGACACTTAAACTCTGGTGAAATAGAGTGATTGACAGTATTTTCTTTGATATATATAGTGAATGAAATATTCAAAATTGAAAAACAAACTGCAGTTTACAAACAGTCCTGTTTATAGCTCACCTGGTCCGAAGGACCATAATGAGCTTATGCCGTGGCGCAGCGTCCGTCGTCCGTTGTCAACTTTTTCTTCAAAACCTATCTCCTCCTATACGCCAAAGAGGATTTGAACCAAATTTAGTCTGAAGCATCACTAGGGGAGGGCAATCATTTCTTAAATAAATGAGGTTGGTTCGACCCCTGATGCCAGGGGGGAGGAGCCCTGAAGAGGAACTTAGCTAAATTTGCTTTAAAATGCATCACCTGCTATACGCTAATGAGGATTTCAACCAAATTAAGTCTGAAGCATCAGTAGGGAAGGCCAATTATTTCTTAAATAAATGAGGTTGGTTCGACCCCTGAGGCCAGGGGGGCGGGGCCCTGAAGGGGAACTTAGCTAAATTGGCTTTAAAACGCATCTCCTCCTTAAAACACCAGAGAAGATTTCAACCAAATTTGCTCTGAAACTTCATTGGGGGGGGGGGGGGGGCAATCATTTCCTAAATAAATGAGACTGGTTCGACACCTGGGGCTAGGAAGACCGGGCTCCAAACAGGACAATTTTTATTTTTTTGCTTTGAGACGGTCAAATTTGGTCAAAAACATTATTGAGGAAGAACAAACATTTCTTAATTGAATGAGGTTGATTTGAGCCCTGCGGTCCTAAGAAATGGTACAGCTAGATTATCATATTATATGGTGTAGTTTTCATAAATTGTTGAAAATTGGTTTCTAGGTTTATAAAAGCTTATAGTTGACTGAAAATTAAAATATTGTCTAATTACACCCTGTAATATGACATATTACTTATTTCAAAATCTGTTAACATGGCAAGTCAATGGAGGCCCCTGATTAGTTGAAAGTCAGATATTGTGGTCCCAGTTGGGTTAGAACATAAATCTTGTCTGGTTTTGAGGAAATTTCATATAAAGATGTACTAATGCATTCAGTTGTAATGACTTCAATATAAAACCAGGTGAGCGTTACAGGTCCAATGGACCTCTTGTTTCTATAGTAATATATGTGAATTTGAAAATAAAGTTAAAATCAGTTGCTAATTATAACAAATGTACGACACTAAACTTGGCTAAACATGTACTTGCCTCAAAGTCTGACGGGTCTGTATATTTCCTGGAACAAATTACTTTGTCTGTTACATAAAACAACAGAGAAAGGATTCTCTAAATCTTGTCTGATATATCAGACTACAGGGAAGTAAGTCTCTAAATCTAGTCTGATATATCAGACTTTTACAGGGAAGGAAGTCTCTAAATCTTGTCTGATATGTCATACTACAGGGAAGGGAGTCTCTAAATCTTGTCTGGTATGTCATACTACAGGGAGGGAAGTCTCTAAATATTGTCTGATATATCAGACTACAGGGAAGGGAGTCTCTAAATATTGTCTGAATTTTCAGACTATGGTGAAGGAAGTCTCTGCATGTCTTATCATAGTATCACACTACTGGAAGTCTCTGAAAACTGAGTGATATATCTCTGTCAACAGGGAAGGGAGTCTCTAAATCTTGTCTGAATTTTCAGACTTATTATGGAAGAGAAGTCTTTAAATATTGTCTCATATATATATCAAATTATAGGAAAGAGTTCTCTAAATCTTGTCTGTTGTGTCATGATCAGACTGGGGGGAAAGACATCTCTAAAATGTTGTCTGGTTGATAAAAAAATTGGAAAGAAGTATCAATAAAGTTTTATAAATCAGCATACAGGGGAGAGTCTCTTAATCTTTTCAGGGAACACATTCTCTGAATTTTGTGTGAAATACAATCGCAGGTCAATACTAAAGGGACAAGTTCAATGACATTTCACATTCAAGTTCAGATTCATGTATTCAAAAATATGAATATTGTAAAAAAAAATATGGAACATTAATGATTCCTGTATATTATTTGGTTTATATTTATGGCTTTTTTTTATAATTGATTGCTTTTTGCAGACTATCCACAAATCCAGTACCTGTACTACAAGGTCTAAGACCATCCTGCCAGTATCCTGCCCGTATATGGTTGGACTTCACAAGTTTTACGAGACAGACAATGCCATTCACCTGTTGCTGCAGTATGCCGCTGGTGGAAAGCTGTGGACATACATTGGAGCTTACCTACAATCTAGTCGAGGAAACCCTCGGGACAACGCCCCCGGGCTGGTCACTGATAGGGACTTGTACACTCACGCATACATGGGACAGAAAATTCATAGCAGTGACAACTCTGTGTTGGACTCCAGTAAACTGGAGGGTGGTAAACAGCAGGCTGATATGGACAATGTGTGTAAAGATAAAGAGTTTGCTGCACTCCATATGAAATACACTAAAGACAATGAAACCTGTGTCTACAGTGCTAATAAGCCAGGCATTGTGCCTACCGATTCAGAATCTAACGTGCCAGGCCAGATGTCAAAACCGTCAGACGGGGAAATAATCTGTGATAAGGATAAGAGTCCCGCCGATAAAAAACGACGAAACCACACTCTGAGTAGTATTTCTTCCTTAGATAACCAAGATATGGGTGATACAGATATATCAGATTTTAAGCCTTGTCAATTGGACCACAAAGATTTTCAAATTAGTGATATCTTAGAGAACACCAAATCTAACCTAGACTGTTTCAGCATTAATAGTATAGAGAGTAACGAGGGGGTACAGAGAATGGACAGTAATGCATCAGACAACACCACATTCGAGAGTATTCCGGAGGAAAGTGAAGTGTCGCCAAAGCACAAGCCTCATTTTGAGGACGATGTGTTTGACGGGGGTAAAGTGTCTCATACGCAGGAGATTCGTGAAAATGTGCCTGAGGACGATGCAGATATTATCGTAAAAAATGCAAAAGAGCTCATCAAATCAGTTGAAAGGACGTTATCTGTTGTCGATGGAGAAGTTGAAGAAGCGATATCACCAAAGAAATTGTCAGACTTTGGTTCAGATAGTAAAAGAGATATTTCTAGTGTTCAGGATAGTAATGATTTGTCCTCGGGCACGCCGACATCACAAAGCATAAGTGACCTACAAGACGACAGGGTCAGAGGTCAAGATTCAGCAAGTCTGGCAGAGGATTATGATAGTTCAAATGAAACCAGTATATATGACCTCAACAGGTCAAATGAAGGTCAAGGTTCAGACACAAGTGATGGGGAGCAAATGAAAGCAATGAGTGATTCCCCCAAGAAAGATCCATCAGAACTTGAACAGGTGTCTGTAGAGTTGTTAGAAGATAGCAAAGACAGGTCAAACACTTTAGTCAAACCAAAATCTGACCCTGACTTAACCTCAAGAAAATATAGTGACCTTGACCGCAAAGAGTCAAGGTCATCAACCTTCACAGAACACTCGCTGACTAGACATCCTACTCCGCCGAAGAAACTTAGCCTGAATCGCATGAACTCTAAAGACCTGTGCCGGTCAGCATCCATGGAACGAGAATTGACCTCCCCATTGAAGACGAGACACAGAAATTTCTCAGGTTTGTTCCAGCAGCTTGATTTAGCCACTAGTAGTCCAGAGCAGGTCCACCTACCCGAGTCCTGTATCCAACAATGGGCAGCCGAGATGGTGGTGGCATTGTCAAGGCTTCATGCAGAGGGAATATTTTGCAGGTACGCTTTCTTATTTTCATGGTAGCATATAACTTTCATTGATTGCAAGGAGTGATGACGATGTGAATTCAACATGACATCATATATTTACGAAGCATTTTGAACCATTAATTCTTCATGTAAATGAAAACAATTGAAGGCATTCAAAACCATATACATACATAAAGAATACCTGGTGGAAACATTTTAGCCATGAATTATTATGATATGATAAACCAGATTTATTTGATATACTTAATTACAGTCTATTACAGACAATACCATATACAATGAGATCATTAAAAATTAAATGTACCTAGTACTTATTTTTTATAAATAAACTCCAAATAATTTCAAATATGGCAAACACTGAATTTTTGAAACATTTCACTTCATTGTTACTCAAGAGCATAATTGACATGGATTGGACTTACTACCCAAAATTTAGGTCTCAAGGTATTATTCAGCTTCACCTCACACATAAAATTTACAAGTAACGATGTGTAATTTAGGAGGCATGGTAGTCTAGTGGTAGGGCGCCGGGCGCATGACCGAAGGGTTGTGGGTTTGAGTCACGGCACGGGACTGTGTTGTATCTTTGAGCAAAATACTTTACTCCGCTTGATCCAGTCTACTTAGCTGTAAATGAGTGCATGGTTGGGCAGTGCTAGAATTGATGAATGCTAGCTGTGAGCGCCAAAATGGCAGCACCCGCTGTATGCTCCCTAGGGTATTGAGAAAGATATTGGCTGGTTGCAAAGGCCCTATAACCACGAATGATAATTTGTGAACCGCTTTGAGATGACCTACGAATAATGTTGTGATAATATACAGTTAAAGTATGGGGTTGAAGAATATAGCAAGTTTCTGGTGTCCCGAGGCGAAGCCAAGGGATATAGGCATGGTCAAGGGACACCAGAAACTTGCTATATCCCTCAACCCCATACTTTAACCGTTTTATTATACTGATACACACTGAAGCTCTGCCCACCTTTCACCTGATTGGCTCGGCGGAAACACCTGAGTGTAGGTGTGTTTTAGTTCAGAAGGTGTGTTTAAGTTCCCAGACTAACACACAGGACTAAAACACAGTCAGTCAAAAGTGGGGATATATTCGATTTTATATAGAGTAAATAAAGTAGAGGTATATTACTGCTAGTTATCACCCACCACTAAGTTTGCTGCCTCCCTCCACAGAGACCTGAAGCCTAATAACATACTGCTGGGGGAGCGTGGACACATTCTTCTTACCTACTTCTGTCAAATCAGTACCACGGAGACCGACGTAGACTTCGAGGCCGTGGACCAACTATATGTTGCACCAGGTATAAACTGTTATTTTTAATTGTTTAAAAATGCTCAAAGCTCTTTCCAGCATATATCTATATTATGAATTTTATACACCCTGTTTTCTATAATGCTGTGATTGTCCATTTGTATTACCTTATTTGTGAATTTGATTTTAACTATTATGATATTATACTAGGTAACTGTAGTGACCAATCTATTCATATTTTTAGAATTTTATTGCAATGCAAATAAACCAGATAAGTCCAATTTACCTGTAAAATAATTGGAGACTTTTTATTCAGTGCCGACTCATTGGGAAAGTCAGAGCATAAAACTCTGATATATCTTGAACTAACCATTCTAACCAACTCTTGATCTTTCATTCACAATTTTTCATTTTTCAATCCTTTACCTGCCTCTTTTGCTCATTAATTCAATCAATGTATATAAAACAACTCATTAAACTGCGACATTTTTCAACATTTTTATTCGTCAAACAATGGTTATTGTATGTACTTTTTGAGCATTATTAATTTTTGTCAAACTCTCCTATTAATTTTTGTCAAACTCTCCTATTAATTTTTGTCAAACTCTCCTATTAATTTTTGTCAAACTCTCCTACTGTCTCACATGAATAGGTTGGCGAACATGTTGTTAGGTAACAGTCTAGGCTGCTGAAACTTGTTTCAAATGTAGCAAAGTGTGCAATACATTAGAGTCTTAATGTTTACATTGTCAAATCTGAGCTGTGGATTCATTCTGTACAGAGGTGAGGAGTATATGTGGTTATACCGACGTCTGTGATTGGTGGAGTCTCGGCTCACTCCTCTACGAGCTTCTCACCGGACGCGTAAGTACCATGTTACCATGGTTACATTATTTCCAAACTCAGTTAGTTATAAAATGTTATGCTATTTTCAAAACAAAATTTTATCAGAATATCTTCAACAAAAAGTTTCCATGCATGTACCTCGGTATGTTTTTTGTATAAAAAAAAAAAAAAATATTAATGTAAAATGTATGCAAAAAGTATGGTAAGATATAGTAGGTTTATCTCAAGTCCCAAAATGTGATTCATATGGAAATTGAACAAAAGTAAATAAAAATTAAACTAACGAGCTAAAATACTTGTGCAAGAACCATGTAGATAAAGAAGAAATGTTGTGTTTATGTCCAAAAGAAAATAATATAAAACATTCTGTATCTCAACAATGTTAAAATTAGGTTAAAATATACTCTGTCAAAAACCAGTATTCATTTATATACAAAACAAGCCATAATAAAAGAAACATATCTTGTGAACTTGTACTGAATGAAATACAATGTATGTATAAATAAGGGCAAGATATATTAGGGTAATCACAAATCTCATGATGTGATCTATATGGAAGTTGAAAGAAAGTAAGTAAGAATTTACCAAACAAGAGCAGAATACTTGTGTAAGTATCTCGTTGAAAATGAAGAAGCAAAACAAATGAACTTGTATATTGTAATACAATGTGTGCACCTAATTAAGGCAATGTATATCATGTATATGATGCAGATAGAAAACAAAAAACAATGCAAAAATACAAAGCAAATGTAAAATGTAATGGTCTTTTTACATTTCCAAGAATGAATTTAAGAAGATTCTTTTCTAAAATCTGTTCATAAATATTGAAAAATTATTAAAACATTGTGGTTAATTTTCAATAAAACGACATAACACAAGGACAAAGAATTAAAAAAATAAAAAAAAAATAAAAAAAATATACAGGATTGCTTATATTTCTACAATTTTAGAGTTTGTTGAGCTGTCATCCTGGAGGAATCACTTCTCATACACAACTCTACATACCAGAGAGTATGTCTTCTGAGGCTAGAGGTCTCCTTCACCAGGTAAGTTAATTAAGAACGCTATTCCCATTAAAGATATACAAGGGCAGTGAAGCTGTGAATATGTTTGACCCTAGGACTCCCTGTACTAAACCCTAGGACTCACAGCACTAAACCATAGGACTCCATGTACAAAACCCTAGGACTCCCTGCACTAAACCATAGGACTCCCTGTGCTAAACCCTAGGACTCCATGTACTAAACCCTAGGACTCCCTGCACTAAACCTTACTACTCCTTGCAGTAAACCCCTATGACTTGCAGCACTAAACCCTAGGACTCCCTGCACTAAACCCTAGGACTCGCATCACTAAACCCTAGGACTTCCTGCACTCAACCCTAGGACTCCCTGCACTAAACCCTAGGACTCGCAGCACTAAACCGTAGGACTCCTGGCAATAAACCCTAGGACTCCCTGCACTCAACCCTAGGACTCCTTGCACTAAACCCTAGGACTCCCTGCACTAAACCCTAGGACTCCATGTACTAAACCCTCGGACTCGCAGCACTAAACCCTAGGACTTCCTGCACTCAACCCTAGGACTCC